CTTTGGGCTCTGGTCGCCCATCTCAGGTAACCTATATCCTAGAAAGATTTTGTCATAGTTTGTATTTGAGTCTTCGCTTATTGTTTGCATGACTCTTTTCTGAGTTTCCGGTTCAAGCTCTTCAAACAGAGCCTGTCCATATGGAATAAGCTCGTTTCCAAATATATGTTTTTGTAGCCATTCTGGTTTTCTTTCCATGTTACCAACAATATCTTTTGTGAATGGGAAAGCTTTTACCCAACGTTTCAGTCTTGCGTCATTTATTTCTGTAGTTGGTTTTATTTTGTCAAGGAACATGTTTTTCAATACTAACATTTCATTTGGTACTGTCCATTTGAGTTTTCTTAAATATTCATCCCTTCTCAGTTCATCGTCTGCAAAGTAAGTTTTTATGACATTTTGTAAACTTTCGTTTGCAAGGTCATGTACAATAGGTTCTCTTCCTTCTCCCTCCCTAACTTTCTTTCTAAACTCTTCACCAAATATACCATCTCTATGGTTCTGTGTAGTTCTTTGAGATAAATGTTCTAGAACGTCAGGTGTTATATTTCCATCAGCCATGTTCATTTCATACTGGTCCAAAATATCTGCATGTTTCATATCTTTCAATGGCATTAAAGCCGCGCTTAAAATACCAGCTATATCTCGTTCACCATTCACTTCCATTGCGTCTACAACTTCTTGGAATTGAGGTTGTAAGTTTATGAACCACCTATCCGGATTAGCTTTATGACCCCATCTCATTGTAGTTCCATAGTCTGCAGAAACAAAAGTAGGTTTGTTTCCATCTTGGTTAGGTTCTGAATGAACTTTAAACAATGTTTCATTTCTATATGTTTTCTTGAAATTTAACCTTTTATTTTCACCGAGTTCATCCGAAGATTGAACGTTAAATGCTCGTAAGTAAAAAGGGTTGTTGTATTTGTGTACATTTTCTTTCAGTACTTCCATTCTATGCTGAATATTTTCATCTGGTGTTGGAGTCTTTTGTATGTCGGCAAACATTTTTCGATATTCTTCTACTATGTCAGCCGAATTTTTTTTAGACTCTTGGAAAGATTCCATATTCACCTCATACTCTTGTTGAGGGTCAAGATTTTTCGGCTGTTCCAAATCTTCATCTAGTTCTGTGAAGTTAGTTTCCAAAGGAGGGACTTGTTCGTTTCCTTCAGGCTCTTCTAGCTTTTGTTGCTGAACTATTTCATCCATGTCTGGTTGTATCTGAACTATTTCTTCCTGTGGAGTTTCTTGTACCTCATCTGCTGGCTTTTCATATATTCCGAGACCGTTTTTAACAAATTCCCTATTTAAGTCATCCGCATTCATAAGCCTTTGTTCTTTCGTTCCGTCTCTATTTTTTACGCGTTTCATGAAGATAGTTGAATTGTCATTTAGCTCTGACATCAAATATCTCGGAGTAAATTCATTCATGTCATTTGGATGATATGCTATTAAATCATATCCCTTTGCGAGCTTGTATTTTCCAGGTTTGAGATTATATTCGATTTGGTGCTGAGTCATAAAGCTAAATAGGTTCGGGTCAGTATTTCCATCCTTGAACTTTCTAATAGCTTCTTTATATCTGTTACTAAAGTCAATAGTATCTGGGTAACCATACTCTTCCTTAAGCATTTTTAAGAATTATTGGTTTCCTTGTTCTCTACTTCTTTTATGTCCTTGCTCTGTTTGTGGTTGTTGTGCTGGTTGTGGAGGTGGTTGCTGTGCAGGGTTTTGAACTGTTGGTTGCTGTGCTGGTTGTGGAGGTGGTTGTTGTGCTGGATTTTGAACTGTTGGTTGTTGTGTTGGTTGTGGAGGTGGTTGTTGTGCTGGTTGTTGTGTTGGTTGTTGTGTTGGTTGTTGTGTTGGTTTTGGTGCATGCCTATGTCTGTGTCCATGTGACGATGTAAATGTTTTAGGTAGTCCTGGTGCAGGTGCTTCTCTTGGAGGGTTTGGTGGTATATAAGTTCCACTAGCTAGTATATAAGTTCCACCAGCTGGTATATAAGTTCCACCAGCTGGCACATATGTTCCATCTGCAGCGTAATGTCCTACCTGACTTTTCGTTCTTAAGAAAGCATTTACTAGGTCTGTTTTGGTCTGTTGTAACTCTTTTTCTTGACTTTTCACAACAGTTGCTCTAACGGCGTCATAGGCACTTTGAACTGCCTGTCTCGTTGCTGCATCTGTTATTTTCGTCATATTTTGTGCTATTTCTCTTAACTCTTTGTCGAAACCTTCAGACTTCAGTTTCTTTCCAGATGAGAAGTCGTTCACTTGTTTCACCTTACTATGAAGAGCTTCGAAGGCGTTCTTAAAGTCAGCATTCGTTAAAGCTTCATTTGAACTGTCTTCATCCGCTTGTATTTTTGTCCTTATTGACCCTATAAGTTGGGCTGCTTCAGCGTTGGCTTGGGCATCTAACCAGTCATTGTTAGCTTTTATAATATCTGCGCTTTTCATTGCCTTTTGCATGGCTGCGTCGTTATTTTTACTTTCTTGTGCTAAGTTTTCATACTGTACGGTTTGGTTTTGCAACTGTAAAAGTTTTTCTGCCTTTACATTTGCTTCAACTTCTTTTTTATACTCATCGCTATCCATATATGTCTTCAGGGCTTTTTGTTTTATCTCTTCATCTTTCAGTACTTTATATTGAGTAGTATGGTTTTTCAAATTTATGACATCTTGTTCCATTTTTGCTACTTCTGCTGCTTTTTCTGACACTTTTTTCGCATATTCCTCTGTACTTAGTTCTTTCAGTTGTTCTTCTTTCTTCTTTTTCTCTACGTTTAACTCATTGAGTTTCTTTGTGTGTCTGTCATATTCTAGTTTCTTTTCGTTTTCACCTATTTGCTTCTGTATGTCTATGTTTGACTTTTTGACATCTGTTATTTGATTTTTGAGTGAACTCAAATTCATTTGACTTTGAGGGTTATAGGCTGTTCCGTCTGCAGCTCCACCATAGCCTGCCATTTTCGCTAAAAGTCCCGCTCTTAAACCTCCACTCTGTGCACCAATGACTCGGTTTAAAAGCATAGGATTGCTTGACATTTGTTGCAACATAGTGGGGTCATTCAGCATTTGTTGTTGCAACTGTTGTTGTGGTGTCAGTTTTACTTTTGGATGTTTCAATGCTCTCTTCCTCTTACGTATATTCTTACGTAGCTTACGTGGCATTTTAAGTGAAGTTAAAAAGCGGCTTTTGACAGATGGAACACATACTTTTTCAGTAAGGACATATGGGGTAGAAATGAGGTTAGAAATGAGGTTAGATCTAACCATCTACCCTAAAATATATTTTTATTGAATTCTGTATAAAATTCTGAGTAAAATGACAGATGTTTATATGACACTTTCTCCGGTTTATAGGACCTCTCTCATATTCTATCTTGTCATATCTAAACTCATAGTCATGTATGTCCTCTAAACTTCATTTATACTAAACATCTTCGGGGCTAGAGGGCACGAAGTGCCTGGAAGCCCCACTACCTTTTTTTTTAATATCAAGAAGAGAAACATGAAAAATCAAGAAATATAAAAAATGATATAAGAAAATTGTGAACAATTGAATTTAATATTTGTAATAAATACAAAATACCAGTACATATAATATATTTTAAGACGACACAGATTTAAAGTATGATTATTTATTGAATGATTGAAACTTTATAATAAAAACTGTTTCCCTCATATGAGAATTGATTATTTTTTTAGAAAAAATGAAAATGACACTTCCTTTCAAAATTATTTGACATATTATAGTTGAAAGTGCATAGATAAATACTTTTGAAATTCATTGTAAGTCAAAATATCAATAAAATGGAAGTTAAAAATTGATTTTATTAAGTGTCATAATTTTAGTTTACATTGAATTCACTTTGATATTTGAAAATAGTTTAGTCAGTTTTTGCATTTTTAAAATGTTAGTCACCTTTCTCCTTCCAAAGTGAAAAAAAATTGTTTAAAATATAAAAAGAATTTTTATTCGCATGGGCGACAAACAAGGATTTATAAATAAATAATGGGGCTTTGAGTATTGATCTGAATTGAATCAGATAATTAGCCGTAAAAATCTTCTAATAACGATTTCTCATGCATGAAAGATGGCTATGAGTGGCGTTAATGAGGGCGTTTGATAATTGGAGTTGGACATAAAATTTGGAGATCTTAATTTTTGAGAATTTTGGTGCGATCTTACTGGTACAAGCAAGAGTATGGAAGGAGATTGAACTGAGAAAAAAACTAGAGCATGCAAAAGAATCATGCTACAGCTAAGTTGAATGTCATTTATGCAAATAAAAATATCTTTTTCAAATTTCAAACAAATTTTTGCCACTTTTTGAAAGAAGATAAGGTAACAAACATTTTAAAATGCAAAACCTAGACTTAAACTATGCCGAAATGTAAGCTCACCGTTACGGTTTTTTCTTTTTTTGGGGGCTCGCAAGCTCGCCCCCAAAGAAAAAACCGTAACGGTGACTAACATTTAGGAAAAATGTTAAATCAATAAAAAAAAAGATGATATGCATTGGTCTTTTTCATGAGTTTTTTTTTACCGTTGAAAATTATTATTTTGCAAAATTCTTGTCATATCAGTTATTACATACTATTGTGTATGCGTTTATTCAAAAATTTTTATCTAATTTTGCAAATTTAAAATGTCATTCTAAAATATATCAAGCTAACAACTAAAAATAAATTATGCTATTGATCTAGATGTATAGTTTAAAACGATTTTTTTCATTTTATTTCAAAAAGAAAAACTCGATACGATCAATGTAAAATAAGTAAATTGTATCCAATTTTTTGCTTAAATTTGAATAAGCTTCGCTTAAATGAACGAAATATCTTTTTCAATTTAAATTCACTTCAAAAAATCTAATAAAATATCATATGGCAAGCCCTTACATTTAATTGACACGAATGCGTCCCCCTGGTCCGCCTTAAAATTAAAAAAAAACTATTATAATAATTGAACAAAAAGTTTTAATAACAAGTTAAAATTAGTTCTTCAATGGTTTTCCAGAGAGAGAACTCTTTGCCATTCTTTTTTCTGTCTGTGAAAGCTGAACATTTGGAAGCTTCTTACTATAAACATCTCCGTTTAAAGTGAAATCCTCGCCACTTTCCTTTTTGTACTCGAAAAGAGCCATAGCAAGTTTTCTTTCTATTCTTGGTAGTACAACTTTGAATCTCCTTTCCACTTTTTCGGCCCTAAGAGCTTTCGAAGGATCAGGAGGACGCATTCTTGCTTTTTCTGGAGAAACAGTTCCTGGTATATGTTTTCCAATGCTTTTTCGAGCAGTTTTAAGTGCAAGACTTCGTCTTGAAGGTACAGCATTGTCCTTCTCTGCGATATCTGTTTGTGGTCTTGCACTCTTTGGCTGTAATGATTTCCTTGTTTTGTCATTTTTCGTTTTTTCAGCAGCAACTTTTTCAAGTTTTGGTTGATCTGTATCTAGTGATTGGCGAGGATTTAATGACATTCTTATTGGTTTTGGCTTCTCTGCTGCAATGTTTTCTTCACTAACTTGCTTGTATTCGTTGATTATCGATTCTCTTTGCTGAATAAGTTCCTGGATTGGACGAGAAATTTCATATAGATGCTGTAGATGCATAAATTCTGCATCGAGAAGCTCGAAATATGCAATTTCACGGTCTTCAGCTGTTGTGTTCTCGATTGGTTTAAGCTGTTCTGGGCGTTTTGGCTTTTGAGGAGTGTTCATTGCGGAATTTTCACTGGTAAGAAGGTCATCAGCATCAACAAATGTCTTCCTTGGGGTCATTCTGCGCTGCTTCTTATCATTTTGGTCATCAATATCCTCTTCTTCATAGAAATCTTCTTCTTCGAGTGGAAGATGTTGTGGGAGAATCATTTGTACTTCTTTATGCTCTTCCTCCTCCTCATGGGGCTTGGAATCTTCTGTTGCCTTGGTCTGTAACTCATTGATTGTATTGGCAGAATTAATTTCATGTCGGAGTTGGTCCGACTCGTGATGAAATTCTGAATTCTCATTTGATTGTGGTTCCGAATTTTGATTCTGTTGGTCGAGTTTCGGAATCGCATCATCGGCATTCTCTGGTTTCTCTTCGTTTTCAGGCTGCTTGTGATCATCGGGCTCCATATTCGATACTTCTGATGCTTTTTGTTCGGAATCATTTACTTTCTCTTGAGAAATATTTTCATTTTGAGGAATTTCGGATTCCTTTGATTCTTCTTCGTTATTTCTGATTTCTTCCTCAGGGATATCAGGATTTGACTCTTCATTATCAGCCAATTCTTCCTGATTAGAGAGATTACTTTCTTCCATTGAATATTTCTCATTCAGCTCTGTTTCGACTCTATTAAATATTGCCTCTTCTTGTTTTTGTGTATAGCACATCTTCTTGCAGAACTCAGAGATTTTCTTCTTGACATCTTCAATTAATTGAGGAACCATTTGATTCCTTTGGTGATTAAGAGAGTTGATAAGCTCAACGCATACGGCAATTTCATTGTATGAAACTCCTTTGTGCATTTGAAGGAAGTTTCTGCGTTCTTCTTCACTTATATTAAGAATATCCCATAAGCGTTGGATTTCAAGGCCAAGAGTAGCAATATATGATGAGTTCAAGTTAAATTCTTCTTGAAGAAGATCACGCTCGTTCTTAAGCTTAACAAGATCACTTGGACGATAAGGAGGATGAGCAATTATCATTCTGATCTCGTTTTTGATCTCAACACCAAGATCGTATGAAAGTTTGTCTATTTCTTGTATAAATTGTTGAGCATATTTTTCATTTGCATTGATTTCATTTTGCAATCTATCTATTTTATTAGAAAATGATTGCAAACGCTTTGCTGTAAGATCTGTATCGCCAACAGCTGCGAAATCGCCACGATCTTGTTCAGGAACTTCGAGTATTTCAAACATTTCTTGTAAAGTATCGACCATTTTCTGGAATTTTTGAACGGTCTCAACATATCTTGGCTTATATTCCTCATATGCATCTTGTACTTGATCAAAACGTTCTTTGAGAGAGCCATGGATGCCGTTTTTTTGAACTTCCTCGATTTCGAAAGGTGAAGCTCCTGTAACTTGAAGCATGCGTATATGTTTTTGTTTTGTTTCATCTATACCGATTTGAAGTTGTTGCATTTCACGAATTGTTTCTTCGATTTTTTCTTTCTTAATTTTACCAATCTTTTCATTAAGGGGCCTTAATTCATTTATCCTTTCTTCTTCGTTAAGTCCCATTTCATCCCATACTGCCCTAATTTGGTCATCAATATTCATCCAATTTTATTCTAAACGTCAATGAAGTTTACAAAATTAAATAATTAGATGAACAAATTCATGCTATCTATGATCCCATAGGCTCAGACTACAGAGGAAAGTTTTATGTAAGGATGCAAAAAGTAAGGAGCGAATGATAAAATGACAGTTTGAATGCTCTTGACAATAGGATAATAAAATTAATGGAATAATGAATGAAAATACTATGAAGTTATGTAACCTTATGTCTGTAAATGATAGTTTAACATCATATATCTGATAATGTTTATGAAATCAATGAATTTGACTGAAAATTAAATTGTATTTTCAAATACTATGTCAATTTGAGGAGTTTTCAAGGCTCTAGCGTATTTACAATAACTCAAAATATGCATTTGTATATTTTTATGTCCTCAACGATATAAAATAGCATGGAAATTAGATCTTTTTGTTAAAAGTCAAATAATCCTTATATTTATATCTCTTACTAGATATAACTATTAAAATGAATGAATGTATGTATTCACAATTGTCTTGTTATCCATCATTTCTTGAATGTTATATGAAAAATTGACTAAAATCAATATTGTTTTCATGAGTACTAGACATATCAGTTTCATTTCGAAATCGATACTTCACATTCGAAATGATTGACTTCACCTGAATAATAACGATTACTATAAATGGAATTTTCCATGAAGATTTCGTGTCACCCTTGGGTTTATTTAGCAATAAAAAAACTTCAAATGGAAGAAGCCTTAGATTACAACGAGTCTATTTAAAGAAACAACTCAGGTTTAATTGGAAATACTGATTTATTTTTCAAACGTGAATTTTTTTATACATGGAACTCATAAAGAATAGTACATTCAGATAAGTGAAGATAAAATTACATTATAATTAATGAATTTCATTTAATTGCTTCTATTGGTAGATTTCTTCCATGAAACCAGCAAAATTTTTGTTGATTGAACAAAATCCAGAATCATTGATTTGACGAACGCAAATGCCATTACAATATGCAATTACAGTTAGTTCCAAAAATGCGATTTTACAAAAAGGAAAAAATCATCAGATGAAAAAAGAAAAAAGAGCCAGTGGCGGGACTCGAACCCGCAACCCCAAGATTAAGAGTCTTATGCTCTATCCGGTTGAGCTACACAGGCTGTTCGAAATATCAAATCTCTTCAAAAATGAAATAAAAATCATATTTTTTTTCAATACTTTACTTTCTAAATTTAACAAAAAATTGAATGAGTGAAACGGTTTTCAATTTTTGCACTATTTTGGAATTCTTGATGAAGATTGATAGCTTTACAAATTATATTCTAACTATTTTGTAAAGCTTTCAATTTTTTTCAAGAATTTACCATTACATGAATGTTGATTCTTTTGACATTCATACAGTGTACACGAGTAATCGGTTAAAAAAGGATTACTATATCGAATATTCTTCCGATTGCAGTATGCTGTCAAACATTTTACCAATTATTTCGGACATTTTTCTTTCAAATTCTAAATTTGATCATTTGACTTCAAGAGAAAGAGATGGAGAACCTATAACACCAGATGAGTATCGCCAAGTATTTGATGAATTTTTCTCAGAATTAACAACTTTAAAAATTTCATTAAAATTATCGAATCGATTTCCAACAAAACTCATTTTAAATCATATTGTGACAGATCTTCTCATTAAATTTGTGGGAAATGACTTCCCGTTCAATTTAAAACTAGTTTCATTCGAAATAATTGCATTTCACTTTTGCCGAAACAAACAAGCAATTCAAGATTTGATTTCACGAGGAATTGTTGACATATTAAATTCATTTCTTCAAGAAAATTTTCAATTTCAATTTTTTGTTCCATTAATGTATTCTATTTCAAATATTTGCATGTTTTGTGATCAACTTGAAACCTTCCTTTCACATGAATATGCAAATCTCTTCAAAATTCGATATTTTGAACAAATAAAATATTTAAATGAACAAAATTCTCAATCTGATGACGAGGATGATGAAAACAGAATTTATTATTGTAAGAAAGTCATGATGAAGCTATTGACAAGCTTTATTAATTCATTTTCTGAATCAAATTTAATTGACAATTTTTTAATTGAAATGAAAGACGTTTTATGGGATCTAGATGATCCAAATGAAGATCTAATACGAGCATTATCGAAGATAACTGTTTTAAACACGATCCAAAGCATAAATTTGGAAAATCTTTTGTTAGAAATCATGAAAAGGACTGAAAATGAAAATTTGTTTTTAGAATGTGCAAGAACAATCAAAAAAATTCCAATAACAAATATTTTTTCACAATATTTTGAAATATTGAATAGAATTACAAGTTTTGGCAACAAAACAATTGATATAATATTGGGTATAGTTGGTCAAACGATTATTTTAAGTCAAAATTGGAATTCTGCATTTTATGAATCAAATTTTTTAAATACATTATGTGAAATACTTTACAAAGAGGATGGAATTATTTCAATACAAGCTGCAAATGTTTTGATGCTTTGTTGTTTATCAAATCCAAATTATTTTTATAATATTTCATTTGAACGTAATTTATTGGATTATTTGGATATTTTCACAGATACGGATAATTGTTTTGTTCAAAATATTGTTTTGGACTATTTAATTTATATTTTTAATATTTTTGATAAAAATAGTCAAATTCAAGTTCAAAAAGTTGAAAATATGATTAATTTATATGCAAATGATATAATAAATTCCTTTCAGCAAACAGATAATGATATAATTTTAGAAAAAATCGAAATTTTCCAAAAAAAACTCCAAGATTTAGGTAAAATGTAGCCCTACCAAATGTATTTATTTTTCCATAACATGTGTTTTCAAATGTATGCGCACTGCTCTCTTTTCTCATTGTTATTTTTTATTTATTAGTGGAATTTTTAAGTCAATTTTTTGTGTATAGTATTCAATTTTGAATTACTGAGAATTTTTTAAAAAATAATATTTATTTAATAATATTATAAAAAAATAATTTAAAAAAATAATTTTAAAAAAAAATTATAAAAAAAATGAATATAAAAGAAGGTTTAAAAAGTTCAATAGAATACAATTTAGAGGAATGTAATAAGTCAGAAGACATAATAATAGGTAGCTGTCAAGCAGAATCATTTCTTCATCTCAAATTAGTTTTTGAGGATGAAAATATCAATGCGGAGTCAAAGTCATCAGCCATACTATCTTTTGTTGAGTTTAAAACACAATCTGCATTCATTTTATCTTCTTCAGACTTCATTATTGTAAGAATTTTAAAAATTCATTCAAAAATGATAATTCCTCCAGAAGAAACAGAAATTCATGAGCTGCATATAGGCGAGTATCTAAAAATATCTAATTTATATGCTTCTCTCAAATTAATTATTGAAATTCTGCCATTTAAGCCTTATCAAATAGTTCCAGAGTTTTCATGGTTCCAATCTATCTTAGCGATGTTTCTCCCGATATCTCCCCCTATAAAATATTATGATCCTTCCTTTCCATTAATATCTTTCTTAAGAGCAGTCGAGAGTGGCCACAAGGTAGATATTTGCAAACTAGTAGAAGATGTATGCCATGACACAGCATTCTTGCTAACAAATTTCGATTATTTGATGTCAAAAAATATTGATCACTATGAATTCGACCAACAGATGAAGAAGGACACGTTTTTGAAGAATCTCTGTCAATTGTTTACCCAAGAAACAGGTATTAGTCATACAATTGTCTATGGAAACCCTTTTGAAATTAATTTTGAGAAAAAAGAGAACCATGGACTTGATAAAATAGACTCAGACATGATTCTATTTATTACTGATTACTCAATGACCACGAAAACCCAACAAAAGTACATTCACACCAGTAAACAAAATTATTATTTTATATCGTTCGCTTACGAGGTCAATTCGATGTCTGGTGTTGAGATTCAGTTCTACAATTACGTTACCACCCAGAGAGTCCATGTTTTTAAAGAATTCAACATGATAAATTCTCTATTTGTTTTAAATCAGATGTGGAAGACCAATTATAAGCCAAAGAGAGTAGATATGGCTTATCTATACGTTTCTGAACACGTTTATAACTCAATTAATTGTTTTAGAATTAATTCTCCATTTTATAATTTTAATCCTCAGAAAATTGATAATCAAACAGATAATGATAATGTTACGATGTTCTTTCCATCTGAAGGTAAGTTTTTGGCCATACCTTCTTTGTTTCCCGTTGGAGAAAATCCGAAAAAAATTATTATTCCGAAAAAGTTAGCTTCCAATGGATTTCAAATCATTTATTTAGAACAACATGATTTCTCCTATGTTCCTATTGTTTCTTCCTTGAATTCAGTAAATCAAATTATTATTGATTCAATTAAGAACTTTTCCTGGTATCAGAAGCTCGTCAATGTCTTTTTCAAGAATAATAATGATGATCAGCTCATTAACAATGAGTTTGTTGATGAAATTAACAGAGATTTTTTTGAATCTGAAAATATTCAATGTACAACAGAAAACTTGAAGGAGATAATTAGTGATAAGCTAAATATCGGTGAAAATGTATCTATTACTGATGCTTTGGCTGATTTTGCGTTGAATAATTTCAGAATTGTTCGGATTATTGGAAAACAGATCACGAAAGTGTTTGATAACAGCAATTACATGATTCCTATGCCACTTGATGACTTGTTTATATTGAGAATCCATATGTTTGGCACAAGTTCGAGTTTTTTCAATGAAAAATCGAATGAATATATAACAAGAGTCAAATTTAACATGAGACACAAATTTTCTAACACAGAAATAATCGAAACTGTTCGATTTCCTTGTATTTATTATTTTCCAAAAATTAGACAGAAAAAAATGGAAATAATTTGCGAAAAACAGAACTTGGACATGAACACAAGTAAACTAGTAGAAGATTACATTAAGAAGATTACTTACGTACCTGAATTAGTTATAACCAAATCAAAATTATAAATTTTTATATTTTTGTTATGTAAATATTAGTATATTAGATTTCTTATATATTTGTGTTTTTTGGTTCGTCTTGTATGTTATGAAAAATGTACAATAATCTTGAATCCTTTTTAGTTTATTTCGATCTAACTAATGATATTAATCAATGCTTTGTTTATTCATCGAGGTTTAACATTCCATCTCTTTGCAAATGTTTTCTTTCAAATGGTGCAAACATCAATAAAAAGGATATATTTGGATATACTGCTCTTCATACTGCAGCACAAAATAATTGTAATGAAACAGCCGAACTTCTTATTTCACATGGTGCAAATATCAACGAAAAAGATAAAAATGGAAATACTGCTCTTCATATTGCAGCATTTTATAATAGTAAAGAAATAACCAAACTTTTTTCATATGGTGTAAATAACAATGAAAAAAAAATATATGGAATAAGGGCTTTTCAACTATAAAAATCTAATCGAACTCTTTATTTTACATGGTGCTAGGGATTTGTAAAATGACATATAAACTGGCACGAAAGTGTCAAAATTTGCCCTTTTTTACCTTCCCTCCGTCCTCTCAATTTTAAGCCTGTAACCGGCACGAATCCACTCAACTCGTGCCAGTTTGCGAATTTAATACATCTAGAAAAGGTTTAGGGGGTTTGTCCCATTACTTATTGTATATACCATTCATGACTCAAGACTAAATAGATTCATGAATTCCCCCTCCAAAAACACAAAAAAAAACTTAGATTTTTTATAAAACGTAATAAAAGATAGTTTTTTTTACTTACGCAAAAAAATTATAATGAGAAGAAAAAGAGAAAAGAAAATATTAATATAAAAAAAATAAGACATTAAAGAAAAGAAAAAAAGTTATTCTCTATAAAAATCTTGAGAAAAATTAGTTAAAGAGAATACGAGCAGAATGAACTGTTGTTTCGAGTAAATCTACTTCCTTCATTCTTCTGTCAATCATCTGGAGTGCCAACTTAAGTGTCTGCTTGTTATCTCCAGTGAAGAATCCCCATGATTGTTTTCCGTTTGATGTCCTTTGAACCTCGTTTCTCTCCTCTTCTGCGTGTTTCTTGAGGGACTCGAACCAGTGGATAGAGTCGAACAGGGCGTCCTGGTTGAGGAGCTTGAGGATGTAAGCAATTCCCATTGGGAATCCATCATCTGAGAAAGAAGCGTTTTTGTTCTGTTTCTGGGCTTTGTCCTTCAAAACCATGATTGATTCGATGTATGACAATGTCAATGCAGGAAGAATTGCGTAGAACGTGGAGAGGTGGATGTTCTTCTTATCTCTGAATGGTCCTGAGAAAACTTCAACCAAAAGTTTGAAGAATGATTGGCCGCCGCCAAACAAATCCTTGAGTTTTCCAACAATTCCATCCAATCTCTCTGCAGCAGTGACTGTGTGCTGTGGTAACTGGACTTCTTCTGAGAATGCCTTGAAGGAAAGCTCGCTGTCTTCATCGTAAACGAAGCCAATTGCGTTGTTCAAGTACCTTGTACCACCACTTCTGACCATTCTGACAAATCCAAGTGCATTTCCAATCTCTGTGATCAAAATGCGGAATTTGTCAAGTGCGGACAATCCAGAAGTGTTGTTGTTGTTCTGAGAAAGTCTCTTGAACTTCGTAACGAGTTTCTCGGCGCGTTCGTAAGGGAACTGTCCGTCGCATTCCTCTTTGTGCTGCTCGAACCACGTGATGTCGTTGAAGAGATGGGATTTCACGTTGTCATCGAACAGGAACTTTGAGAATGTGTTGAATTTCGTCTTGAGGAATCTGTAAGTGAAATCAACTGTTGTGTTCATGATACCAATACCGTGGCATCTGTAGGAGGCAAAGATGTGAGGAATGCCGACAATAGCGATGTAATGGGAATCTTCTGCTCTTTGTACGAAAACTTGTGAATTCAAGTCGTAGTTGTGGCATGCAACGAAAACAGGGATGTTCCTCATGATCTCGAGAACGTCGATCTCCTGTTGCATCATTGCGCCTGGAATGTGGCAGTCTACAACTGAAACGCCGTACAAACGCTCGAGAATGTTGGCCATTTCGGTGTATGTCTCCCAAACTGAGGGAGCAACGGTTGTTTCGTTGTAGAAAACGCGTGTGAAGTAGTAGCTGGCCTCGTAGTGCATGTCGAAGAAGCGGCTCATGATCTTGAATGGTGGTGTCTGGAGGAAACGGTCGAATTGAGAATAATTCTTCTTCATTGGATTGCGCTCGGAGACGGCGAGGTGCTGGTGAGCATGGAATCTCAACTCTACCTCGAGATCGGACAAGCATGGCTGGATAAACTTGTCACGGAGTAATTTCGTAAAGTATTTCTCGCATTTGCCGTATAAGTCAGCGTTGTCTTTGAAGAGATCGCCGATATCGTTGATTGAAAGTGCAAGGAAGACAATACGACGTGGATTCTTCTGGCATTCGTGTAAGAAAATGTCGTAAAGCTCACGAGAGTCGAAGAGCCAGGCTGTATCGCATGCGTTGTCGATGTGGTCGTTGTAATGGCCCAAGAGCTCTAATGAACGTAATGTTCCGAACATATCATTATGAGTAAATCCAAGACCGGAGAATGGCTTCGATGCGAAGAGATCGGAGATGATCTGGAGGCATGTTGTAGAGTATTCGCCGGTGAATTCGTGGATGCAGTGGTAAGCAAGAGAGACTAATGCTGATGCACGAGTACGAACAGAGCGGTAGGACTTCTTACGAAGAGTTTGAGCAACAGCCTCGAGATCGGAGTGAAGATGTTTGATGATTGCATCGACTTGAGGTGGAAGATTGTGGGAAATGCCAGCTTGATTGAGGAAGAAGGTCATTTGGATGGCCTTGAGGAGCTCGATGAGGGAGCCGAGATATTCGATCTTCTTCTGGTCGATGCTTTGCTCGAAAGCGTAGTGAAGATCGATTGTTCTCGTAATTGTGCTCTTTACGAAGTAGCCGAGGTTGACGCCGCTCTGGAGCTGCTTGTGGCAGTTGGCCTGCCATGTAGCAAATTTGGCAAAGCATTGAAGAATTGACTCGCTGAGCTTTGAATCGTGGTTGCTGAGGTAATTTGAGACCTTTCCGTTGGCAACGCGGCGAGCATCGTTTCCGAGGTAGGTTGAGATGAGTCTTGGAATGTTTTCGGCAAGGTAATTGAGTGGTGAGAAATTGACGAAATGGTAAAGTTTGACGATAGGAGAGACCTGGTATGAGTTCCATACTGTTGTAACAACCTTCTTCTTAGGGTTCGGAACGAAGATTGTAAGGAGATGGAGGAGGAGAGAGAGATTGCAAATATCGGATTCAAGATCGCAATATTTGCCTTCTTGTTGAAGTCTGATGTAAGTATTCGCTTCTTCTTCGATGTATCTTTCAAGATTCTTGCCGAATTCCTTTGCGCTTGGCTTGACAACCAATGGAGCGAGATTGCCAAGGAATGTATTCATATTAGACGAATTAAAGACTGTACGATGGATCTGGCCCATGCGGGTTTCGACAGTGTTGACGTCGTCAACTTGTGTATTATAATTTTGTGATTCGTTCTTAATAACAAAAGTCATGCGACGGAGATGCTCCCAACCTTCAAGAAGAGCATCGTTCTCCTGGACTAAGCGCTCCAAAGTGAACAGAAGCCTTAAAAGCTTTCCGATGCCAGAAAAGGCCGTATAAAGAACTGTTCCCTGGAAGAAGTCCTTGAAAAGAGGGTTCTCTGAGGAGTAGAGGAAGATGATGTATTCGATGTATTTGATGCCAACAGACATAGATTCGAAAAGGAAAGTGGAAAGTTCTTGCAATGTCGGAAGGAATTCCGATGTCATGAGTTCTAAGTCGCCTGTAGGAATACCACATTCATTGTCAAGGACTTCGTTGGCAGATGGAATGTCATCGATTGTTTCGCCAAACAAAGCAAGCTTGCGATAGAATTCTTTCTCACCACGTTCGACGCAGTTGTTGATGTAAACAATATATGTGGTAAGAATTTTGATTGGATAAATAAGGTCGTCATCATGAGTATCGAAAAATTCGTCAATTGTCTTGTTGGTTGGGAATGGGTACTTGAGAGCGATTGGAGCTGAGAATATACCCCAGGTACGGCATGGATTTTGGTCAATGACCTGATAAAGCTCGTCAAGTGTCTTAGAATAATTAGATAGGAAACTACTTAAGTCTTCACGCACGTTCTGCGTGGCCTTGGCATTTTCCTTCTTCACCTCTGGGAAGAAGTATTGCCATAAAGTAGTCTGTTCAGTGGTTGTAGTTGTAGATGGAGGTGGTGGCGGTGTTGATTCCATATTGGGTAATTTATCGTCTTGTCAAACAAAAAAATTTTTTTTTCTCATCACCTGAAAAATTCTGATCCAAATCACTCAAAATTCGGTAATTCGGAATAGCATTAGTAATGCTGGCTTCGGCCAGATTGATTTTAATGACATTTCGAATTTTCTCTCAATTCTTTTCAAAAATCTAACCTTCGGATTTGTGGATGTAAACTTAAAGAATTTTGTTTGGATGATATTGCATATGCTAAATCAAGCACTTTAATGACGATTTTTATTTACCCGACACTGTCACTTTTTCTGGATCAAAGATGAGTGAAGAAATTATTACATTGCTTAGATGCTTTACCGAAGATTGTCCATATCACTGGATGTGGTTTGGAGGTTCTATAGCTTTTATTGTATTCTTTTCCGTATTATTTTTCTACGGTCTTATTCCAATCATCAAATATCGTCTCGAATTTTGGTCTTTAAGTACCCTCAATAGATCCTCACGAATTTGTTTCATATTTGCTATATTACTCAAGCTAGTTTTGCATCCGTTGACATTCATTGATTGGAAAGACCACAGAACACGTCGTATCTTAGGATTCATCATATACTCATTACCGTCTTACTTTATTACCACATGTTACACCCTCGTTCTGATCTCTTGGATCACAATTTGCATGCAAATTTTGCCATTAAAAATTGTGAAGATTTTCGTCAAAGCCAAGGTTTCATTAATAATTTATAATGTCATTATCTATGGTTTATACATTAGCGGCTTAGTTTTCGAATGTCTTAAACAACCAGGAAAATTACTTAAATGTTCAGGATATTTCGAGATCTTCAGAGACATCATTTTGGCTCTGATTTATATTGCATTCATTGTCCTACTAGAACGTGGTCTCAAAGATGATTCTTTCGCCGAAACAAACATTGAGCAAAAGAAATTGTTACGTCTTGTTATTTTCCTTTCCATTATGTTACTTGCTCGTGGAGCTATTTCAGTTGCACAAGTTGCAATGCATAATACTTCAATTTGCAAGATTCCATTTTTCAGTGCTGTTTGTTTCAGCGAAATGTGTGTCGAAGGAATTCCTTTGTTTGTTCTACTTAGAATAAATAACGGATTCCTCGGAACAAAGAGAAAAATGTCGTTTGATCTTGGAACACACAGTTTAATCGAAGGATAATTATAATGTAATATATGTTTACTTTTGTTTTAAAAATTGACTATCTAGTGTATTATTAAATCTTCATTTTTCAAAATTATTTTTTATATTTGTGAAATAATTTTTTATTTTATATTGTGTGAGTAACTAAATTGTTTCTTATTACTAGTGTAGTTTTATTTTAAAAAATACAAAGAATATGTCAATAATCACGAAATAAAAAATCTTATTCAAGGCATAATGCCGACATCCATTGACTTATTTCCATATTTCTTAAGTAATCATCGTTAAATGTGAAAGAAATCCCTATTATTAATGAAAAATTGAAATCAAAATCATAAAAACAGCAATGAAATAAACAATTTTTACATGATCATTTCAAATAAGAACGTACAAGCTCCTTCATTTCATGAGTAATACATGCATTTAATGGCAATGTGCCGGAATCAGAAGGAAGATGAGGATCAGCACCAATTTCAAGCAAATGTTTGACAACATTAATTCTGTTGTTTTCTATGGCAGCTAAAAGAGGTGAATATCCGAATATTCCTGTATAATTCACTTCTTTTGTTTCTTTAAAGACAAATTCAATCAATTCCATGTTTGGACTACAGCAAGCACCAATAAAATCATCTTTCGTAAGTTTCTTTCCATGTTGTAAAAGAATCTTTAAACAATCAAAACTTCCATTAAAACAAGCAACAAAAACAACATCTAAATTATCTTCAGTAATCACATCAAGACTTGCACCTTTTTCTATCAGATAATTAACAATATCCGCATGATTATTTGCAACAGCGAAAAAGATTGGCGTTCGATGTGATTCACCAAAATATTCTATATTTGCTCCTCTTTCAATAAGAAGTTTAACAATATCTGCATAACCTTGATTTGCTGCTAGAATCAATGGATTTGTTTGTGAATCATTATGCAATTCAGTATTTGCTCCATTATCAAGTAAATATTCAATCAATGGTCTTTCTCCATAATAAACAGCCCAATTTAAAGGAAAATCTCCTTCAGGAGATTGTATATTTACATCATAATTACTTAATATTGCATAAGCAACTGCAAGAGTATTAAATTCTTCGATTGCACGGATTAAATTGTATTGGACTTCATTATCTTCTAAAATCCATTGAGCAAATTCATCATTATGAAACATAATTGCGACATCAATGAAAGTTTCAGCTAAATTACTTTCTTCAAATACAATTTGTGCGATTTCAAGATTTCTTCCTTTAATTGCAGCTCTCATAACATCAGTATTAATAGTTAATGAATTGACTTTGCACCATTGTACTACTTGAGAAGAACCAAATAAACAAGCCAATGAAAAAAGACTGTATGAATGTCCATCAAGGGAAAAAGTTAGATTGCTTGGATCTTCTAAGGTAACTTCTGCGCAAACATTTGATAAATCATCATTTATAACGAAATATCCTAATGAATTTTCTGGAAATATAGATTCTACAACTTCGGTATCAGGAAAGTCTTTCGGAAGCTTATAAAAGAAGTTATCTTTAGCGATATTCCTTTTTAAGAGATAATTTGTAAAATATGTATTTTCAACGTTGAAATGTGGACTTGGAAGCATTGCCCAAAAGTTTCCTAGTGTTTTATAATGACGTCTATTTACTTCTGCTGATTTGATTATCATTCTGTGTAGAATTCTTAAGTAAGATTGATCTAAATTCTTAATAATCTCTTCGTATTTTGATATGTTTTCATCGTAAGGATTGAATACAATGTTTTCTATTTCACGTAATGTTAATAATTTTTCAGGAATTATTGATTCTTCAAAAGGAATATTCATCAAAAATAAAAATGATATAAAAAAATATATAAAACTATTTATTTAAGCAAATTTTCTAAGGATGGAAAGATTTCTATCAGAATATGGTGGGAACTTGAATGGTATTTCTACCATTGTTGAATGAGTCAAAATAGGTTTAAGATGGGAAAGAGTCTTGACGCCAATTTCGCCATGGTACTGGCCCATTCCGGAGTTTCCGACACCTCCGAATGGAGAATATGGTGAGGAAACGTGGAAAACAACATCGTTCTGCATAAGAGCGCCAGAAGATGTCTGCTGCTGGAATTTAGTGAATACATTCCAATCAGATGTGAAAACATATGCTGCAAGTGGTTTTTCTCTCTCATTAATAAATTCAATGGCCTTATCTTCATTATCAACTGGGAAGAATGGGATGACTGGTCCAAAAACTTCTGTTGTCATGATATCCGCTTCCATACTTGGGTTTTCTATCAATGTTGGTCCGATAAATAATTTTTCTGGATCTTGAAAGCCCTTTATGATGATATTTCCACCGGAATTATCAATAAGCTTTGTAAGACGATCGAAATGATGCTTGCTAATGATGTGTGTAATGTTATCATTGTAAGCAGTGTCAGGATTTGGATAAAGCTCGTTAATGGCCTTGACCATTTCAGCCTTGAACTGTTCCATGATGTCTTTGTGAACCATGACGTAATCTGGGCAAACGCAGGTTTGGCCACCGTTGAAAATTTTGCCCCAAATTAAGCGGCGGACACTTTTGGCTAAGCTGCAGTTCTTATCGAAGTACACAGGTGACTTGCCGCCTAATTCAAGGAGGCATGGAGTCAAATGTTCAGCTGCATGACGCATTACATTTTTAGCGACAGCTGGTGAACCTGTGTAGAAAATGAAATCGAATCTTTGGTCAAGAATAACATCACAAATTCTTGTTGGACCACAAACAACACGAACTCCCTTTGGATCAAGATATTGTGGGAAGAGTGTTTGGTAAAGCTTAGCACAATGTGGTGTATTGCTTGATGGCTTGAATAAGCAAACGTTACCAGCTGCTAAAATTGGACATAATGTAGCGAAACCGAGATACATTGGATAGTTGTAAGGAATGAAATCGCAAACAACACCATATGGCTCTGGAACGATTGATGCACTTCCAGGAGTAAGTGCCCATGCAACTGAACATGATTGTGGTGCTAACCAAGATTTGAACTTTTTAAGTGTGTGAGAAATATCAGTCTTAACGTTTTCGATAAGTAATTCTGCTTCGAAATGATGAGATCCCATATCATCATACATTGCTTTAACCCAATCATCTTTGTGCTCATCTAAGCATTTGAGGAGGCCATTAAGCTGATCTTCTCTCCATTTGAAATCAAATGAGACTCTTGTCTTGAAATGCTCACGTAATTCTTTAACGATTGTCGGTATTTCCTCAGGAGGAACTGGAACTGGCTCCATGAAAATATTGTCAGATTTGAATTGATTTCAAAGTTTGAAAAAGCCGATCATTGGTATCATATCTCTATCGTCAAAAAGAGAAAAGGATATAAAATATACCATAATTCTTATATTCATCATAATCAGAAATTTGATCGTAACGATTATTTTCAATTGATTCTATAAAAATTGAATTGTTTACAAATGCAAAAAATAAAGTTGATTTCATACAAAAATTTAATTGGATCCAACAGAGAAAACTTTTGAAACACAATATATTTGTATGTATGAATGATAATAGTATATAAAATTTTAAGATATTCAAAATGATATCGTTTTTGAAAATTATAGGTGATATGGACTAAAATAGGTGAAAATAGGTGATAAAGTTTGAATAGATAACATTTTACATGAAATAAACAATAAGAAAAGTCATACCTTATGGTGTGCAAACTTTGAGCTTCTTCTTTTGAAGTGAGATTGTAACATCTGTGCGGTATTTGCATGGTTCGCCATCTCTGTGGACAGGAAGAGGTACGTCTGAGACAATGTGAAGCTTCTTGCATCTTACAATATCAACTTCATCGAAGTAGTTAAGGGCACTATGACAATTCAGATAAGCTAAGGGGAAGAATAATAAAATCTTGACCTTATTATCTGTATTCAGAACGAACACATCGAGATATTCATCGAATGGGTTAGCATGTGGAGCAAGGCGCAAGCCACCACCTTCACATGGGCCATTAAGTGATGAAAGGAAGAGGCAACGGTCATAAACGCGTGTATCCTTATCATCGAATGTAATGGTGATCTTAGAACACTTGTAAGTAAAAATGTTCTTGACTGCGATTACAGTATATGTGAAAAAGCCCATATGGATACGATTTAAGAAGTCTTTGATGGGTGATGAGTAGGCTTCCATGCAAACGGCAGCGTCAAATCCCATGCCGCATGAAACACCGAATTTTTGTGTTTCGTTGTTTCCAAAGTCAAGGCAGCCAACATCGATTTCTTTGTAATTCTTAGAGTACAAAACTGTATCCAAGGCCTTCTTAAACTTAGTGGGAAGTCCTAAACCACGTGAGAAGTCGTTACTTGACCCTGTTGGGATGTAACCAAATTTAACATTATCGAAGTCTGTAATTCCGTTAACTACCTCACTAACGGTTCCATCACCTCCAAGTGCAACGATGGTCTTAAAACCTTTTTCCTTACAGATCTCTTGGACAAGTTGGATTGCATGGTACTCATAGCGAGTGTAGTGGACTTTATAATCGATGTGGTGCTCCTTTAGTTCCCTCTCAATAAGCTTCCAGAGAGATTTGCTTTTTCCGCTTTGACTACTTGGGTTAACAATAAAGTGGAACATTTGAATAATATGTTCATAAAAAAATTTTTTATTTGATCGCAATTAATTTTTCGAATAATATCGAGAACAGTGTAATTATAAAGGTTTATCACTTTGTTTGGATTAGGTTGGAAACTTTTGAATGCTTTTGAGAAAACTTTCATTTAAATTTGAATGTTTACATAATTTTTATTTTAGATCAATTGATTATTCATATTATTTTATGTTTATTTGCATAATAGATGATTTAACGTGTTGGATCACAAAAAATTCTATAAAGAGGTTTTCATGTCATTAATATTTATAAATCCAAAATAAATAAAATTTCATAAAAGGATAAAAATTTCGCAATAAAAAGTGTCAACTTTTTCAATGGAATCTCCAGTATCGTATTAAAAGATCTATCGTTTTCGATGGCATGCCATCAACCAAAAAAAGAGTTTATTTATTGATCTAAAAGAAAATGCCCCAACCTAAAAAAATGCCCCAATAAATAGCGAATTGATTCATATGGATTTATGTAATTGTGAACATTAAAAGAGTTTATTTATTGATCTAATAAAAAAAGATAAAATATTAATGAGAAAATTGAAAGAATAGAGTGTCCCATTCACTCGTGTTGGTCGCAATGTATCATTCTGGGAGACATTGCCTCTGCATGTCTCCCACAATGGCACAATGTTCCTTGGAGAAAGACCTGGAAGGGGGTCCTTTCTCAAGGTCAGGGCCCCCTTCTAGTCTTTCTGGTCCTGGAAGGAGCGCTTCTGACTGGTCTGTGCGCTGCTTCCAGGAAGATCAGGAGATTGCTCGAAGTTCGCGGCAAGTGCATTCCGACACCACAGATGCACTTGCCGCAACATATAATTGCGAGTGTCTGCTGCTTTGGTCAAAAGAAGCAGCAGACACTCGCAATGCGAACCGAATTGTCCCAGAAAGACCTGGAAGGGGTCCTTTCTCAAGGTCAGGACCCCCTTCTAGTCTTTCTGGTCCTGGAAGGAGCGCTTCTGACTGGTCTGTGCGCTGCTTCCAGGAAGAACATGAGATTGCGCCAATAAGCTCCTATCAACAAATTTTGACTAAAAATATAAAGTATCCTTTTGTGATTTAACGAATAGCTCAATTTTAAAATAGATTTGATTCTAATAATAAATTGAATGAGTTTCGCTTACGTTTAGAATTTAATGATTTATATGATTTTTTCGTTCACAGAAGAGTCATTGATATCCAATATCAAAAAAACAGCAAAGACACACCATAATAAATGATATTGAAGCTAAATATTACATATTTCAACATATCTAAAAAATTATTATAAGATTAGATCTCATGCAATGCCGAGCAGTTTCCTAAAGCATAATTACTTATTTATACAGAATCAATTATATAATATTCACATTGCAAATTATATACATTCTCACGAAGCAACATGAAATAGACTGTCCGAATTTGAATTCAAATAGAGATCTACTTCAAAAGGATTTCTTACAATATGTAATCTCGATGTTGATCACTGGAATACAAGGGATGCACGTAATTTACAAATTGTTGCAAAAATAGTAGTGCAACAAAAATTTTATTTTTAGCTTGTCACTTGATATATAACAATTGCAAAAACTCAATCAAAAATAGGATTTGAACAACTTTTTAAAATTGTGAGAAAAATTCTATCGGCACATTCTATTCAATTTTAAAGTATTTCTTTCATATTTCAATCGATTATTCAATATTTGCCAATCACAAATTTTAGTTCAAAATTCAAAAAATCCCTAATTTTAATTTCAGATGAAATCTCGCAAAAATAACATTGTTTTAACCATATAAATATATATTTTATATATTGTATAGTGATTTTTTAATATTTTTATGAGTAAAATCGAGAGTGAGGAAATGTGGACTACAAAAAACGATAGAAATGAATAGTTTACATGGGAATTCAATACTTACAAGTATTCAATGTCACTTTTGTGCTCGAGATTTTGATTCTAGTATATTATTCCTGAATTTAGATGTTTTTAATTTTGTCTATGTATGTATTTTTGGTGGGAAATGGCCATTTAATTTCACCTGTCTTTCATTTTTTAATAAAAATTCAATCAGCTTCTGTCTGAAGTCCTGTCATTTGATTTTACTGTCACCAATGATATAAGGAGTGAAAATTTGTGGACTATATTTGATATGGTATCCACAATTTGATATATGATAATATGTATATTCGTTATTGCAAATGCAAATATTCGACTAAAAGTATTGAGACGTTGCTTGAGAGGTGGCTTTAAGACATAGATAATAGGATAAAAATCCGTTAAGCATAAGAAATAAGGATTTCGGATATATAAAATATTAATTTATTTTTTATTTTTTTAAATTAATAAAACAAACATGGTATAAGTATATATATAAAATATAAAAAAATCAAATTGATGGTAATTTGAGAGGAACCCTTCTCCTGACAGGAGAAACGATTGGTCCATGGATCTGTGTATGCAAAGATTTTCTTCTTGAAGCTTTGACGCTTTCAGGGATAACCAAAGGTTTGACGAGGCTTTTCATGTGGTAAGATTCTTTTCTTTCCGGAATCAAAGCCTCTCTGTAAAGAAGAGAATGGAAATGGCTGACAAAATATTCACGATGAATTATATGGTAAGATATTGTTCCAAGATTGGAAACTTGGTTTTCAACATCTTTCATAACGGCTAAATAGTCATAGCCAAGCTGTGAAAGTGAGCCTGTGAAATAAGCTGGATCATATTCAAACTTTGCAAGCTTTTCTTCGACGTAAAGGTATTGATCGTGAAGCCATGGATGGCGGATGATATCATCAATAGTGATTCGCTCGTCAGGATTCTTTGTCAACAATTTCTTTATTAGGTCTGCCAATTGGGGAGAAATGTTTTCGGGTATTTCAACTTCTTTAAATATGATTTTCTGGGCCAATCTTGTTAAATTGTTGTCTTCAAATGGAAGATAACCGCAAACAATAGCAAAAAGTACAATGCCGCAGCTCCAAATATCAGAAGAATAAGTATACGAATGTCCAAGAATCATTTCTGGAGGAGCATATGCTGGTGATCCACATTGTGTTTTTAATGTATTATCGGAAGCTGGAGTGTTACTGAGGCCGAAATCAATAACTCGAATGTTGCGAGAGCTATCAAAAAGAATATTCTCTGCTTTGATGTCTCTATGGGCAATATGGCATTCTTCATGAAGATACTTAATAACCATGATTAATTGGGAGAAAACGATGGAAGCATCAGTCTCATTTAACACACCTCTTTCATTGATGTTGTTGAGAAGTGTTCCATTACGGACATACTCCATAACAATATAAAAATTGTTAGGAGTTTCAATTACCTCAAAAAGTTCACTAATAAAAGGATGCTTGGCTTGTTTTAAGAAACTTATTTCCCTTTTGATCCTGATAAGGTGCTCTTCATCATCTTCATTGGGGAGATGTTTGGAAATCATTTTAATTGCGACGTGCGTCGATGATGGCTTATGAATAGCATAGTAGACATTTGCAAACCCTCCTTTTCCAATGTTTCTAACAATGCTATAATTTTCCAAAACTTCGGTCTCCATTTCTTAGTAATTATGAAAATAAAAATTGAGTGGAATAAATGGCTATATGAAAAATTTTAAATTTATATATTGTATTATTATATACATATTTAATTTATTTCGTCCAATAAGCTTGGATGCGAAGTATTGAAATTTTGAATTCATTCAAAAGTACATCAGTTTGGCATTGTTGTTTGTGTTTTTATTCTGATTTTATTTAAAGAATTAAATGATAAAAACGTAAATATCTTTCGAATTGAAAATTTTTTACGTCGATGAATCCTTAATGTAATTTGTATTGTTATGACAATGTATTTTGGTCGGATAGAAATCTTTAACAAAAGAAAAAATGTGACGGTTTTCAAATGCAAAATTTTGTGAAAGATTTATGAAGACTGTATTTTTATTCAGTGAATATAATTTAAGAGTGATTTCATATATTCTAATATTAGAGCATGTTAAATTGAAAAAAGCACAAAAACCGTATCGTAAATATGGTCAGATAAATGTTATTTTATTGACCCTGATATAAATAAATATTCTGCAGATTGATTTTGTATAACCTTTCAATTCTTTTGAGTTAATTTCTTCTAACGCTAATTTCTTTATATTATTATTAATTATTGTAGATACTCAAAATGTAATCTAGAGATATTTCTGAATGATTTCCAGTTTGAATACTATCCTAAAAAATTTTCAAAAAAACTATCAATTAATCAAATTATTTCTTTGAGAATACCGGTGAAACTTGTTGTTATTAGCATGTAAAGTATAAATATCTTAATGTTTATTAAAAATTCCAACTTTGAGGATTGATCCTTGGTTGGTCTGCTAAGATCATTATTATTTTTACCTTTTAGATGCTTAATTAAGTTCCAACTCGAAAATAAGTTCATTTATTTATTATCTATTTACTGAACAATAAAATCGCTTGAACTCTGAGTATCCAACTATAGTTAATGAACCCTCTCATAGCAAATTTGTTATAGGTTGTATTTTCATATAGTTGTTTTAATGTGCAAGCACCTATAATTAGCGTGCAAAATCAATCAATTTTGTAGAAATTGGGTATTTAGCAATTTGAGTTGCATATGTGATATTTTTATGAGATAGTAAATACTTACACAAATGTGAATTTAAAAATTTACCTTTATGAATATACCAACCTTATTCTAAAAGAGAAATTGGATAACAATATTCTAATTATTTATTATCTGACATCCCTAGAGAACAATCTAGAGGATTCTCGTCAAAGTCTCAACTCGAAAATGTATCAACTAAATTTACCTGTAACTACAAAATAAAAAGAGATTCCTTGCAAAATTATTAGAATTCTTTGAAGCTGGCCAATTCAGAGCATCCAAAATTGAAAAATCTTTGCGTGAACTAAATTCAACAAATGACCTATAAAACGTATAATAGGATAATTTACAAAAACAAAATGCATTACTATTATAACAGTTGTTTTTCTAATAGTAATGCATAATGTAAGCCATGAATATTAAAGGCTAACTTCAATCTGAACGTTTACGATCGAAAATATGAAAAATAGAAAGAAAAATCATATGGTTGGCTTGCCACTTTAAATCAACATAAATCCTGAAGGAAATCTCGAAGTCTTATGTGCTATTAGCTATTTATAATAAGGAGTTCTCCAATCACTACGTTATCAGTTCGAGTTATTTTTATGTCATATCCCTCATCATTAAAATCACCCCAAATGACTTGATTTAGTAGGACTTAGATTCAGATTTTCATGGAATTTCTTTCGATATCAATTTGGTTTATTGTTTTGAAGTGTATGAAAGCAGAAATATCATCCGGTTATAGTTCAATCTATCATAACGCTAAGCGGAGCTGAGAGAGTTCGAAAAAAAATTGAGAAAAAATTATTTTCTAATTTACAATTCGATTCAATTTGATTATTCATCATGAGAACTGCTCTTCAAACTTACAATCTGTGTAGCTGATATTAAAAATAAAAATAATGGCACTTTTTTATTCAAAAATACGTTTTATTGATTCCTTCCATGAATAGTGGTAGAAAATCGAGCTTAGGAAGGAATCAAAAGCCAAAGCCACAAATTCCTGTGCTAGTTAAACGAAATAATGTAACAATTGTGCCAACAGTCGTTGCAAATCACGACATGGTTGTACCAAGTAACGATAGACCAACGTCTACTGCATCAAACACCAGTGTCAAAGTTAAGCCCCACTTTATGAAAGCTGTTTTACCATCAATTTCTGGAAACTTAAGTAATATGAAATTACAACAGCAAAATCAAAACCCGTTAGAGAATATTAGAATTCAGAATCTTCGAGATTTCGATCAGCAGATGGATGATTTCATGAATTTGACAATCTCATCTCCTTTTTATCAGGCAATTGAAACATTTTTCAATCAATATTTTAGAGGAACAACGTGTTTATGGGATGATATTAACTCCCTCCAAACTATGTACTCGATGAGTCTTAAAAAGACATGCAAACGCGATAGAGGTATTCCTGGAGCAACATTTGTTGGTCGCCAAACAATAAAAGTTGATCGAGCAGGAAGCCATCCAGCGTATGATTCTGCAATCGATGGGGCGCTCGGCTCTGAAGAAAATTCTTTGATTTCTTTTCCAATTTGGTCTTATCGTAACTCAATCATTGGAATTGTAGAAGTTTCAAGACCACAAGAACCATTTACAGAAGTCGAAGAAGCTTTTGTCATGCATTTTACCCAAAAAATCAAATTATTAAGTAAATGGATCCTGCAACCTCAAGTTAATGATCAGCCAATATTCGATATCATTCAATTACTTAGTCTTGAGCAGTTTGCTGCTGTTTTCAAGTCAAAAATTACTCAGCTTTTTAATTGCAGAGTTTGTGAAGTTTGGAGCTATCGCAAGGACACTCAAGAGATTACAATGATGTCTGACTCCTTAGTCCACATGCAACCGCCAAAAGGAGGTATTGTTGCTGATTCTTTGTTGAATCATAAAGTAATTAACTGTCAACTTAACAAATTGCATAGCTGCTATAACATGGAATTCGATTTCAAAAACGATGAAGCTGTTCTCGTCGTTCCTGTCATACAATCTCAAGTAAATTATGATTATGCAGTCTGTATTCGTGGTCCAAAGGCAAATTCCATATTCACTCGTTATGATGAAGACCTTTTGAAGAAGATCGCACCTTATATTGCTCTTGCTTTCTCAAATTCAACATTACATTCGGAATTCTTCAACGATTTCCAGAATTCCAAGTTCGAACAAGATGGATTAGCTGCTCTTCTTGAAGTTGCTGAAGTTCTTTCTTCACAACTCGATATTGATAAGCTTACAGAAACAATTATGGAAAAGGGCAGAACATTAACGAATGCCGACCGTTGCTCTTTGTTCTTAATCAATGAAACAGGTGAGAGATTGATTACCAGCTTCCAACATGGTCTTGATACTGCAATTGATCTTCCAATCAGAAGAGGCGCTGTTGGATTGGCCGTTAAAGAGCAGAAAGTTGTTAACATCGCTGATGCCTATCAGGATCCTAACTTTGATCGCTCAACAGACATAGAAAGCGGATATCATACGAATACACTTTTATGCGTTCCCATTTTCAACCAGAAAGGCGAAGTCATTGGTGTTACAGAAATGGTTAACAAACTTGACGGAAAGCCTTTCTCAGAATGGGATGCGAAAGTTATTCAGATCTTCAACGTTTTCTGCGGAATTTCCATCCAAAATGCCAAACTTTACAAGGAAAGTGTGGATATGGAGACACAATTGCAGTCATTCTTCGATGTTTCTGTGGCAGTTTCGAAATCAGAGGACATGAAAGAAGTTTTACAACAAATCATAGCCAGATCGAGAGATGCCGCTGAAGCAGAACGTGCTTCCATCTTCTTATTCGATCCAGCGAACGATTGTCTCAAAGTATTTTTGGCAGATGGCACAAACGTACCGGAAACATTGCCAATGAATACAGGTATCGCTGCCCAATGTGTTAAGCTTCGCAGAGCTATTGTTGCTAACGATGTTTACCATGATCCGAGATTTAATAGATCTGTTGATACGGCAAGTGGCTTCAAGACGAACAATTTGGTTGTCGTTCCTCTATTAACACCTGGAGGAGATATCCTCGGTGTTGTTGAAATGTGCAACAAGAAAGATGGTGACTTCGATGACCATGATGCGAAACTTGTTCAATCATTTGCTTCATTTGTAGAGATGACTCTCGAAAAATTCGAACTCAAGAACATCGCAAGCCTCGGAGAAACCGAAATTGAGATGTTGAAATGGATCGGAGAAAGCGAAAGAGAATCCTGCACCGAAATTCCATTGAGATTGCGACTGAAAGAAGAACAAATACAAAACTTGAGACAACTGAATTTCATGGCTTTGGATTGGGAACCGATGGATAGAATCAAATCCATTATTTACCAATTTTATTCGTTCGGAATTCCACAAGAATTCAGGATATCCAACCAAATGCTGTTCAGATTCATTTGGGAAGTCATGAGAACATACCATTCAACGCCATACCACAACTGGATTCATGCTGTCGATGTTGTTCAATATGTTTCTTACGAAATGAGATTGGGAGAACTTGAAAATATTTTCACGAAATTTGAGATTTTCGCAATGTTAGTTGCAGCTGTTTGCCATGATGCAGGACACTCTGGATTCAACAATATCTATAATGTTAAAGCAGAAACACCATTAGGTATATTGTTCAAGGAACAATCAGTTATGGAAACTTACCATTGTACAGTTGCAATTTCCATTTTGACAAGGAAAGAATGTAATTTATTCCACTCAATAACTGAAGAAGCACAGAAACAGATGTGGACATTGATCATCAAACTTATATTGGCAACAGATATGGCTTTCCACTTCAAGATGGTCAAGGCAGCAACGGAATTCATGGATGCTGGGCCTTTCAATCCTAATGATCCTGAACAAAGATTAATCGCTTTCCAGTTGGTCCTCAAAACTGCTGATATTTCTAATGTTTCGAGGCCATTCAAAGTCGCTGATAAATGGTGCGATGTTTTGTGTGAAGAGTTCTTCAGACAAGGTGATAAAGAGAAGGCTCAAGCCTTTGGTTTGACATCGCCTTTGAATGATAGAGATAATCCTGATAAACCAAAGTCTCAGATTGGTTTCTACAACTTCGTTTGTATCCCTCTTTACAGTGTGATTTCTAGGATTTTCCCGAAGTTTGAGGTCAACTTGAACTCGGTGAAATCTAACTTGGAAGTATGGAAATCACTTTCTCAGCCTCAGCAACAGGCTCAACAACAACCAGCTAAGAAATAATTTTAATTATCTTTTTTATATCTTTATTTTGTTAGTAAAAATAGAATTTTTATTGCATCTTTCTTTAAATGTCCATTTGTTTATGTAATATACTTACAAATTATAAATTCAAAAAACAATCAAAGGTAAAATAGAGTAAAATCTGAGATAGGATAACTTAGTATTATTGTAACAAAGTGAAAAATTAGGATTATTATTAAGAATTTGGTTCAATAATTAATTATCTCAATTTAATTTTTGTATTGGATCATTGTTACACGTGAGAATATATTTCCTTTGTCAAAATATTTAATGGTATTAGTTAAAATTGTAAAAATTAAGAACAACTAAAAAATCTATATTTTTACATTACATTTAAACTCGCTTTGCGAGAAGTTTAGCTCTTGCTTCTTCGGCCGATGGTTTCATAAGCTTCTCGTTTGGTAATTTGATCAAATTCACGTCAATTTTTTCTAATAATTTCTCTAATCTTTCAATTGAGTCATCGAAAGGATGTGGTGGAGGTGGAGCTTCAAATGCAGGTGCTGGAGCAGATGGAGCATCGAACTTTGGTGCATTCTGGAAGTTTGCAAAACTCATATCTGCGGATTGTTCTGGCTTCTTCTCTTCTGGAGCCTTCTCCTGTGTTGCTGTCTTCTCATCTGTGAAAGTTGGCTCGAATGGAGCGAACTCTGCACCATTTCCGAAATCTGGATTTTGGCCATCTCCAAAAGCAGCGAAATCTGCACCTTCAAAGGCTGCGAACTGGAACTCTCCGTTATTCTGTGCATCGCCACCATTCTGGTCATCGAATCCCTGGAAAGTTCCAAATTCAACTTCACTTTTCTTTTCAATTTTTTCTTCAGAATTTTCTTGTTTTTGTTCTGAGTTTTCTTTCTGAGATTTTTCATCGTCGAATCCAGTGAATCCTCCAAACTCTTCTTGTTTTGGCTGTTCATCGAAGTTGGCATTTCCGAAATCACCAAACTTCGGTTCTTCTTTCTCTTCTGTTTCCTTTTTAGTTTCTTCTTTTTCTTCTGTTTTTTCAAATGTTCCAAATCCATCTGTAGATTTTTGTTTTGGTTGTTCATCAAATTTAACATTGTCAAATGATCCAAAGTCACCAAATGCATTCTCTGATTTAGGTGCATTTTCTTCTGCTTTTGGTGAATCATTGAAGCCTTCGAATGAACCAAAGCCATCATTAGATTGAGAAGTAGTTGCAACACCATTATTTGATGGTTGTTTTTCTTCAACTTTAGTACTGTCATTGAAACCTTCGAATGAACCAAAGCCATCATTAGATGTAGAAACAATTCCACTATTTGATGTTTGTTTCTTTGGTTCTTCGCCAAATGTTCCAAATCCATCTGTAGAATTCTGTTTTGGTTGATCATCGAATTTAACATTGTCGAATGAACCAAAATCACCAAAGCCATTATTTGATGGTTGTTTCTTTTCTTCTTCTGCTTTTGGTGAATCATTGAAGCCTTCAAATGTTCCAAAGCCATCTGTTGATTTTTGTTTTGGTGGTTCATCAAATTTGACTTTGTCAAATGAACCAAAATCTCCAAATCCGCCATTATTAGATGTAGAAGCAACTCCATTGTTTGAGAGTTGTTTCTTTGGTTCTTCTGGTTTAGGTGAGTCATTAAATCCATCAAATGAGCCAAAAGCGTCTTGAGAAGAAATCTTTGGAGATGATTCTGATGCAGGAGCAGAAACAAAATCTTGCTTCTTTTCTGTTTCTTCGAATGAAACAAATCCTGGCTGAGAACTTGGAACTGATGATCCAAAGTCAGCAAAGAAATCATGTGATGACTTCTTTGTTTCTTCTTGTTGAACAGACACAACTCCATTATTTGATTGTTTCTTTTCTTCTTCTGGTTTAGATGAATCATTAAATCCATCAAATGAACCAAATCCATCTGTTGAAGAATGCTTTGGTTGTTCATCAAATTTAACACCATCAAATGAACCAAAGTTATCAAATGCATTCTCTGATTTAGGTGCATTATTCAGCTTTGTTTCTGATGATCCGAAATCAGCAAACATATCATGTGATGTCTTCTTTGTTTCTTCTGGTTTTGGAGTATTATCGAATGATCCAAATCTATCATTAGATGTAGAAACAATTCCACTATTTGATGTTTGTTTCTTTGGTTCTTCACCAAATGTTCCAAATCCATCTGTAGAACTTTGTTTTGGTTGTTCATCGAATTTAACATTGTCGAATGAACCAAAATCTCCAAAGCCACTATTTGATGGTTGTTTCTTTTCTTCTTCTGCTTTTGGTGAATCATTGAAGCCTTCAAATGAACCAAAGCCATCTGTTGATTTTTGTTTTGGTTGTTCATCAAATTTAACATTATCAAATGAACCAAAGTCTCCAAAGCCACCATTATTAGATGTAGAAGCAACTCCATTGTTTGATGGTTGTTTCTTTGGTTCTTCTGGTTTAGGTGAATCATTGAAGCCTTCAAATGAGCCAAATCCATCATTAGATGTATTGGAAATGCCATTGTTTGATGTTTGTGTCTTTGATGGTTCTTCAAATGTACCAAATGTGCCAAAGCCATCTGTTGATGATTGTTTTGGTTGTGAATCAAATTTGATGTTATCAAATGAACCAAAGTCTTCAGTAGATGCTTTAGGTGTTGTTTCACTCGAGCCGAAATCGGCAAACATGTCATGTGATGTTTGTTTATTTGATTCTGAGTCAAATGTGCCAAAACCACCAAATCCATCGGTAGAACTCTGTTTTGGTTGGGAATCAAATTTAACATTATCAAATGAGCCAAAGCCATCTTTTGATGTAGAAACAAATCCATTGTTTGATGGTTGTTTTTCTTCAAATGTTACAAAGCTATCTTGTGATGATTTCTTAGTTGCTTCACTGGAGCCGAAATCAGCAAACATGTCATGTGATGATTTCTTAGTTTCTTCTGGTTTAGTTGAGTCAAATTTAACGTTGTCGAAGGATCCAAATCCACTTTGGGATCCTTTCTGAGCAGAAGCAGGTTCAAATGCTCCAAATGCATCATGGGAACCTTGTTTGGCCGGGGTTGTCGCTGTCGCATCAAATGATCCGAAATCTCCAAATGCATCATGGGAATTCTGTTTATTTGGAGCTGGTAAAGTTTCATCAGGTGCTGCAAATGCATCTTTGGAACCTTGTTTGGCTGGTTTTGTATCAAATCCGGAAAATGCGTCTTGTGATCCTTGTTTTTGTGGTTGTGGGCCATCATTAAATCCATCAAATGATCCGAATTGGTTGGAAGTTGATTTGGAATCAGATTTGAAATCATCAAAACCTCCAAAAGACCCGAATTGATGATTTGAGCCTGATTTGGAGTCAGATACCTTTATCTGTGGCTCTTCGAAACCTCCAAATGAAGCAAATTGCTGGTTTGAGCCAGATTTTGTTTCAGATTTGGCAGAACCATCATTAAAGCCATCAAATGAGCCGAAAGTATCATGAGAACCTTGTTTGGATGATGGTTGTGGTGCATCAAATGAACCAAACTGGTTTTGTGTCTCTGGTTTGGAATCTGACTTCGTAGGAGCTTCATCGAACCCTCCAAAAGTGCCAAATTGGTCAGTTGAACCTTGCTTTTGTGGTTTTTCTTCGGATTTTTGAGATGATTCTGGTTTGACTTCATCAAATGTTCCAAAACCTGTATTGCTGCCTTGGAAATCATCAAACTTGACATTGTCAAAGTTTCCGAATGTAAAATTGGCATCGCTAAAGCCTGTAAATTGGAAATCCGCATTTCCATTATTATTATCGGTATTCGAGCCTGAAAATCCCGAAAACGTAAACTCTGGCTCCGGTTGTCCAGAAGCTGGAGCTTTTTCTTGAGGAAATGTAGCATCGATTTTTGGATTTTCCGTAGAATGAGGCGCTGATTTCTGTTTTTCGCTTGTTGATGGATTTTGTTGTTGAGTTTCGGGTGTTTTTGCTGTTGTTTGTTCCGATGAATTTGGTTTGTTTTGAGAAGCATTATTTTGCGATTCCGTATGGTTATTTGCAGCTGGGAAGTCATCAAAAGAGATCTCGAAATCACTATTTGCGTTTTCGCCGAACGGTGAAAGATGTCCGCCTGGCGAAGTTTCAGAGGCAACAAACGATGTAATCATGTGCTCACTGCTTCCTTCGAGATCTGTGCCTTCAGTATCTTTAGCCGGAGCATTTGACTTTGGTGAAAATTCATCAAAATTCACGCCATTTTGGAAAGAAAAATTGTCATCGACGGACTGGATTCTATGCATATCCTGTCCTGAGAATGTATTATCGCCTGCAATTGCTGCATCTCCGAAGTCAGCAAGAAAATTTTCAGTTGAAACGCGGAAAGGATGATTATTTTCAATTGGAGATGGTAAAGAGTCTTCTGAGAATGAATCACTAGCAACCATAGTGTTTGTTTGATTTTTCTCTTTTACATCAAAGGTGACCGTCTTATCTTTGTTTTCTTTGCTTTCTCCTTCGACTTCAAATGCTGGGAATGTAAAGGATGCATTGTCAAAGTTAGCTTGGAACTGTCCAGAGCCGAAAGGATCAAAGCTACCATCACCAAAAGGATTAAAACTCATTCGAAATTGTCAAGTTTTTTCTGAAATTTAATTTTTAATCTTCAATTTCTAGATATTTTTAGTCATTTTCTAATTTTTGAAAAAAATTTGGAGAAAATCCAAAAATTTAAAACTATATTTTAAATCTACTTTGGATATTATAATAAAATATCAAGAAATTGTTTCTTGATCCTTCGTATTTGATGATAATTTTATCTATTTAAAGCCAAATACACAACATATCCTCAATTAAATAGAACCAATATAATTTCAATCTATTACTATTAAATACTTAAAGTATTATACTAGGTGTTTCCCTACATTTTTAATCAGATTTAATTTCGTTTACCTTGAATAATTGAAATATTCATGGAACTATTATAAAATCTTACTAGTTATAGGAAAACATAGTGAAATACAATGACTGTAATGAATGAACCGATACCGACTTTCAGGGAATCATTCACTAAATAACATAATAGCTTTGTTTCTTTATAATCATATATGATTATAAAAGAATATAAATTATTCTTAGTCCAAATCGTATTTTAATGAGTTAAGATTTGAGTCATCAAAAATCACAAAGCTAACGCTATCTTAATATGAAAAGGGTAAAATATATCGGAAGTAATTAGCTATGACATTCAGATTCAGCTTAAGAGTTATATTGTTTCATGAATTTAATACGAAACACCATGAGAAACTAGCTTGGTAGGGAAAAAATGAGGCCAATGTGAATTATTTCGCAGAGGCGTTGCGTTCTTTAAGTTTAAATGGGGATGTTATCATAAGGACAAATTAGAAATGGATGTAATGAACAACTAAGAAAAAAATTGAGGTTATATATGCTTTTTTAAGATCAACAAACAATAATACGAGTGCCATTAAGCGTAAAATTTGGATATTAGAACGAACATAGCGATGGGATTTTTTTCTTTTTGAGTGGGTGATTCAAGATGAAAAAATTATTCAATGTAAAGTATCGTCACTTTTCAACAACAAAAAAACATATGAACCTAAAAACTTTTCAGTCCCAGATTGGATTTTTCCATCGAAAGAGGAATACTGAGACGAGGACTCCCACGATCTCATTAACTCGTGATACGATGTATCTCCAAACTTTCTTCATTTTGAAGGGACAGAAAACTGTTCTTACACGTCTCTGTAGTCTACTTCAAAATGAGATCAAAGATCACGAGAATCCATCTGATGTTGACAAATTGAAAATGAAAGTTGTCAAACAAGTTGAAGCTTGTATAAATTCAACTTATTCTCAACTTATCTCAAATATAGAATTATTTACATCAGGACTTTCGAAATTACTTCCGAATCTCATTGAAGCGAAGCAATCAGAAACAACCGAAAAGATATTAAAATCAATTCTTGCTTTAAACAGAGTATTGCGCTCTTTCTCTGTTGAACAGACAGTCGAATCCGAAAAAGTTACCGAACCTATTATTCATAAAGCCGAATCAGTTGAAAATTCAGATTTTATTATTTGTCGAATTTGCGGAGAAAAGATACACGTTGCAGATATCGAATCCCATACTGAACTGTGTATCGCCGCATTTAAGAGTGAGTCCAAAGTTAATGATATTGACGCTAGATTAGATAATTTGATCAAAGAATTCATGGAAGGCCCTCTATCGACTACATGGCCCGGTGAAGAATCAGATGCCATGCACAAGATATTACCTCAATTGAGTTTACTCGCATTGAGCAGAAGATGTAAGGAAATCACTACAGATAAATCAGATGCTCCTATGGAGCTTACGCAGATTGCATCGATTGCAAAATCAATGCAATCAAATGATTTGTGTTTTCTTGCACTCGAAAAATCTCGAACTTGCGCTGCTTTCCTTTCAGTTGCAGAAAGCCTAGCGAAATCTGCAACAGGGTTCATCCCTCCGAAACAACCTTCCCTCACAGAATTCACTTTCTTAAAGAGAATCAGCGGAGGAGCATATGCTCGAGTTTTCCTGGCCAAGAAGACTCAAACTGGCGATATTTATGCTGTCAAAGTTCTAAAGAGACGTAGCATTCAACGCAAAAACCAAGTTCAACGCGTACTTACAGAAAGAGATATTCTCCACGATTGCATATCACCTTACGTTGTTTCGTTTTACTATTCGATTACTGGCGTCAATAACCTCTACCTGTTCATGGAATATCTCCCTGGAGGAGATCTTTATTCCTTATTAGAACAAGTAGGAGCTCTTGACGAAAGCAGCGCAAGATTCTACATCAAACAGATCATAGAAGCATTACAGTTCCTTCACGAGCACGGAATCATTCACAGAGACCTCAAACCAGATAATCTTCTCATTACAGCCGACGGAATGCTCAAACTTACAGACTTCGGACTTTCCTACGCAGGCGCCGTTGGTCGCCAGATCTCTTCCGACGAGAGAATCATCGGAACTCCAGATTACGTATCTCCCGAAGTTATTTTGTGCCAATCCCATGGTCCAACAACAGATTACTGGTCTCTCGGATGCATAGCTTACGAACTTATCAGCGGAATACCACCTTTCCATAGAGATACAGAGAGTATGACACTTGAAGCCGTAATTACAGGCAGATACGAGCCGATTGAGGATTGTTCGCCCGAATTAAACGACTTCATTACCAGACTTCTCGATCCCGACCCAGAAAGGCGCCTCGGAGCCAAAGGAATCGAAGAATTAAAGAATCACCCATGGATAACTATGGAAAGTGACGAACCTGAGGAAGTTCCCTTCGTCCCATCGCTCTCCAGCCCCGTCGATACTAATTATTTCATGAGCAGATACGAATTTTCCGAAGACGACGAAAAAGATATCAGATCTGACATGCAAGCAGCTCAGGCAGCGGTAGAAGCGAAAGACGAGGAGAGCAAGAAGGACAAGAAGGTCCCTGCTTTGAGAAAGAGGAACCGCAGCGGAACAGTTTCAAAGAAAAAGGACGAATTACACAATTTCGAGGTCGTTGGCATTGACCAGTTGGGTCTCCAGAACCAGGAAGCGGCTAGATTGGCAAGAAGAAGATCTAGAGCTATTTCGGACAGTTTCGCGCCGCAATCGCCGATGACAATCAGATTAACTAACATTGCACCTGCAGCATCAAGTTTGGATGTCGCTGGACCTTTGAAGATCTCTGCAGCTGATGACTTTTTAGTTTCAACACCAAGGAGAACTATCGGCGATCGATTTAAGTAATTGTATTTTATTTTATTGTATCTACGGTAAAAAATGTTCTATATTTCTATTAGAAAAATAACTATGTTTATTAATCTATATGTTTGGCTTAAAATAAAAATTATTAAAAATTATTTTGGCAAAATGAGAAAAATTTGGGTAAATATAATCATAATGGTCTATTTTATTAATATTAGGAAAGGTTGTTTTTCAAAATTTAAGTGGATCAACAACCACCATCATTTCTATGCTAAACTGGTTTTAACTATTAATATCTATCCATAGGGGACTTTAATAATGTAGTTGTACATATATGTTACCTCTTGATTTTTTGCATAATCGGATCAAATTTCCTCTAACACATCAATATTAATCTATTTATATAAAAATAGATGTGTATTACCAAGTCAACATCAGACGGGAGGATATCAACTGATTATAGATTTCAGGATATTATCAGATAAGGTTCTCAAAACACGATAGAATGTAAGGTGAAATCGAGAGAAAGAGTGAGAAAACGTGACTTGTCAATTTTCAGATGCTTTATTTTTCTTGATATCTTTTAATGCTTGATTAACGATTGTGCTAGTTGTGGTATATAATCTTTTATATCTTTCAATGCTTTTATTAATATCTTGAAGTTCGGCTTTTAATTGCTTATTTTCTTTCAATAAAATTTCTTTCTTAAATCTTAATTCTGATATTCGACCAATTCTTGCTTCTCGATTAGTATCTACTTGTATTGGTTTTATTTCAAGTTTTCCGTAGTTTTGTTTAATTTCTTCTTCCATTTGCGCTTTCTTTGCTAACTGCTCATCATATTCTTCACTCAACTCTTGCAGTTCGTTAATGATAGTTGCTAATTTTTGCTCTTTCTGATCTTGTATACTATTAATTCCATTTTTTTGTGAATTCATTTGCCGGGTAATGTCATCTTGAAATTCTTGGAACTTGTCATCATATATCTTTTTAATTCTATTTGTTTCCTCGATCTTCCATTGTTCAAACTCTTGCATAATCTTTTGTATATCACTCATTCTTCAAAAAATGTACGTTTAATTTTTTTCCCTTATAAAATCTCTCAATTTTCTATGGAATTATTTATAAATGATGACTTGGCCCAGGTCAGTACCTCATATATTCCTATTCCCACTAGAAATGGGGAAAAATGTCTAGACATTAAATGCAGACAAATTTTCTAGTGGGAATAAAAGGGATAGAGGCATATATGACTACTATATAACTCTTTCTCATTAATTCTCATGTTGAAGTCTGCAAAATTTGGGTTATTTATTTCCCATTAACAGTAATTTTTTTTTATATTTAAGCATCATGGAATGATAGTAAGATTAGGTGCTTGTAAGGTATTAACTCTTGGTCAGCACTTCGCAAGCTCCTATTCCTCTTATAAAATGTCTAGACATTAGATTAATTCTTGATCGAAAAAAATGAAAGATTAAGGGGTAAAAAGATTGAGCAAACACATAAACACCATTCATTCCCAATAGAAATAAGAGAAACTTTTCAAAATAGGTTATCTTTAAATATCACAGTGTCTATAATATTTTTTTCTATACTTCAACATCATTCATTCTGACATAACAACGGTTGTTTAATCATTAAATATGAGATATAGAACAAAATATCATTAATTATTCTACCAGAATCCAAGGGAGATTTCGTAGATGAAGAAGAGTGATGCTTGTGCTTTAACATTGTTCTTAATCTGGTGTTGAATTCCGATAGCAAAGTCGATGTTTGTTTCGATGATGTCGCTGCATGTGTTGGATGGTGTGTGTTGCGTAGAAGATCCACAGAAAACAGTGGATGGATATAAGTATGTGACAACAATAGAAACTCCGCTTTGGAAAGAAGGAAGGAACTTAGAGAAGTCTCGTTCGCCGCAGTAGTAAACAACACGGACTGGAGTGTAGATGAATGATGAAGATCCGATGTATTCTGTGCTCTTGTTAACTTTAAGGACACAATCAATGCCTGTGCCTGTGAATGAGAAATTTCCGATGTATGTAATGTTCGATGTGAATTTCTTGATATGAGAGCAGTTAGTGAATGCATAATCTCCGATACGCTCAACTGATGATGGAATGTTGAAAATAAGATTTCTACAGTTTGTGAATGCATAGTCTGAGATTTCGTTGATATTAGTGTTGATATTGACTTTCTCAAGAGATGTACATCCACAGAACAATCCAGTTGGAATTGTGTAATAATTGTTAGTGTCTGAAGAAGATTTTAATTTCTTAGATGATGAACTGATCGATTGAGTGATGTGAGGAATGTTGACTGTTTTCAATTTTGTGCAGTTGCTGAAAACATATGATGACAAAGTAACTTCGTTGTAAAGACTGAATGTCTCAATATTCGTGTTTGAAAATGATGAATCTTCAAGATATGATATACGCGTATTTGAACCGATGTTGAAGAAATGAAGATCGAATGATGAGAACGCATTTCGACGAATAGAGTTTATATGCAAGTTTGGGAGTATGTTGACTGTCGTGATTGAAGGAGCACCACCAAAACATGATGATGTGATGTCTTTGTATGAATCAGGAACTGTGTAGTTTGTTAATGATGTGCAGCCTTCGAATGCTGTGTTACTGAGTGATGAAATCTTTGAGTTGAACTCGAATGTGATGTTTGAGAGAGATCTGCAGTTCTTGAATGCATTATCACCAATCGTTGTGCAGTTCGCAGGAATGTTGATAGATGTGAGACTAACACAGTTCTTGAATATATTGTTACCGAATGAAGATAAAGCACAGAACTTGCCGAATGTGAATGTCGTAAGAGATGTGCAGTCTGAGAATATTGAGTCCGAATCTAAGTTGACGAGTGCGAAATCTGTGAATGTGATGATAGATAATCTCGTGCATCCTGAGAATGCATTCTGTTTGACTGTCCGCAGAGATGTTGGAAGATCGACTCTCAACAATGATGTGCATGAGAAGAATGTGCCATCTTCGATTGTTTCGAGTTTGCATCCATCTTCGAATGTAAGATTCTCGAGTTTCTCGCATCCATATAATGCGTTAGAACCGATGACGATGATGTAGTTGTATATAAGTGCTGAGATTCTGCCACCTGGACAACAAACAAGTTTCTCTTTGTTGATAGTGTATACAATTCCTTGATAGCTAACATAATTTCGGTTTTCGGTTGAAACATTGATCGAAACAAGATTTGAACAATATACTAATGAAGATGCATCGAACAAAGTTACTGATGCAGGAATCCTGATAGTAACTAGTGATGTGCACGATTTGAAGATACCACCACCAAATGTTGTCAAGTTAACTCGTTCTGGGAATGTGACTGCTACTAGATTACGGCGAAATTGGAATGCATTAACACCAATAAATGTCAATGATTCTGGAAATGAAATCGATGTTATTCCAGATGATGAGAATGCCATTTGATCAATATAACTCAATTTTGATCCTTCTTCTATTACAAAGTTTGTTAATGATGTCGTTCCTTCAAAGCATCTATCAGTAATCTTTTGAACATTTTTAGGTATATTTATAGTTTTCAAATTTGTACATCCTTGGAAAATTTGGCTGACTTCAAAATTTAAAGGGCAATCTGGATGGAAACTCACTGTTTCAAGTGAATAACATTGATAAAATGCTATATATCCAAGATACATAAGATTCTTTCCAAGATGTATCTCTTTTAGTTGGCTCCACACAAAACAGTTGTCATAAACATATGAAGGTCCATCCCCATTAATAGTAATGTATTGTAATGATGATCCGTAGAAACAGTAAGAACCAATAGTATGCACAGATGAAGGAATATTAATATGAGTAAAATTATCCGCATAAAAAGCATTAGATCCGAGTACTTGTAGTCCTTCGTTCAAAGTAACTGATGTGAGTTTATGACATTTATAGAAACAAGAATCTTTGACTTGTTGACATCGTGAGTTAAGTGTAACTGATGTTATACCTCCAATGCATGCAATTGCAATGCTGAAATCTTTGTTGTAAACAATTCCTTCTTCCGCTGAGAATGTAGTACTAGATGTTTCAACATCAATCGATGTAAGATATTGACATGATTGAAACATTGTCTTACCAAATTCACTCACTGAAGAAGGGATAGTAAATGATGTTTCAGAAGGAGAAAAGTAAATGAATTTTGTTCTGTTTTTCAACATCAATGTTGCAGATGAAATAACTGTATACATTGAAAAAAAAAAAAAAAAAAAAAAAAAAAAAAGGAAGTGGGGCTTCCAGGGGCTGCGCCCCTTCTAGCCCCGAAGATGTTTAGTAAAAAATGAGGTTTTTATTCGGAAAATTGTTAGTCTTCTGGTGTGAATTCGGAGGACTCTTCTTGGATTGAGTCTTGTATTTCCTCCTCCTCTTCTTCCTCCTCCATTGCTTCTGGGAAGAAGTCTTCTTCTGGGTCGAAGACATTATATAATGTGTAATTGAATGACACATTATATCTTTCTTTGAGTTCGCTCCTGACAAAGAACTTAGTTCCAGGAATACAGAAGACTTCTGTGCGTTGGAAAAGCTGATGTCCTGGAACAAATTTGGCAATTAGAGACTTCTTTTTTCCGAATTGTTCAGGAGTTTCCATGACGACAGTAACAACATCTCCATCTGCGAGGTCTTGTTGTTGTTCGGAAAGGTAAAGAGCAATGATATAAATGGTTGCTGCGTTGAATTCGAGAAAGTCGAATTCAAATTGTGTAGTCGTATAGCAGTCAAACCATTTTGTACAGTTGTCTCCGAACTCGTCAATGTATTCATCTTGGTCATATCCGTAACTAAAGACTTGGAATTCGGCAATTCTCTTGTCGAATGACCGTTGCATGTAACGAGGAAGATTTTGACGAACTTGGTATAAAGTTCTCAACATTATAAGCTTAGTAAATGTTGGAAAATACTGAACTAAGACATCGCTAAGCTCAATTGGACTTGGAATTGTCTTAGTAAGTTCAATTGAACTAGCAATTGCTTTGTTCAGAACTTCACAGAACTGAGTATTGTATATAGCGTCTGGTTGTGTGTTTTCTTCGGCGTCTTTGAGATATTTAGAGCAAATTTGTTGAAGAATTTCTCTTAATTCGCTGTTAGACTTTTTGGCGGTTATTCTAACAGCTGTGCCAGTTCTTGGAGGTTGTGGGGCTTTGGCTTTGGTTAGCGGTTGAGAATTGTTAATGTTGGCTTCCATTAGACAAAAATAAACTGTTTTTTTCGGACTACTCATAGAAAAGTTTAAAATAAACCGTTTTCGTCAACGGTAACCCCCTCTATTTTTTTATTTTATTTAATAGTTACCGTTGGCAAACCGTTCCATCTCAAATATTGAATGAACTATAAACGTTTTTTGTTTTCTATACATACTTTTTTGTCCAACGGTAAAACTTTTTACACAACGGTTTTTGAGAGTCGTCGCCGTTGACTTTTTTGTAGAGCACTCAAAATAGTACAGCTTTGTCTGGACAAGTAAGGGTCTATCGTCGCTACAGGAAAAGTTACAGGCGTTCCAAGGAAGTATACTTTGAGAAGACTTTCCCCCTTATAGAATGAGATAGGACGGTTATTTTACAAAACTGACAACACTTTGACCGAGTAGTTTTTTGTGCTGAACAAAAAGTGTCATATAAACATCTGTCAAAAACCGCTTTTTAACTTCACTTAAAATGCCACGTAAGCTACGTAAGAATATACGTAAGAGGAAGAGAGCATTGAAACATCCAATAGTAAACTGACACCACAACAACAGTTGCAACAACAAATGCTGAATGACCCCACTATGTTGCAACAAATGTCAAGCAATCCTATGCTTTTAAACCGAGTTGTTGGTGCACAGAGTGGAGGTTTAAGAGCGGCACTTTTAGCGAAAATGGCAGGCTATGGTGGAGCTGCAGACGGAACAGCCTATAACCCTCAAAGTCAAATGAATTTGAGTTCACTCAAAAATCAAATAACAGATGTCAAAAAGTCAAACATAGACATACAGAAGCAAATAAGTGAAAACGAAAAGAAACTAGAATATGACAGACACACAAAGAAACTCAATGAGTTAAACGTAGAGAAAAAGAAGAAAGAAGAACAACTGAAAGAACTAAGTACAGAGGAATATGCGAAAAAAGTGTCAGAAAAAGCAGCAGAAGTAGCAAAAATGGAACAAGATGTCATAAATTTGAAAAACCATACTACTCAATATAAAATACTGAAAGATGAAGAGATAAAACAAAAAGCCCTGAAGACATATATGGATAGCGATGAGTATAAAAAAGAAGTTGAAGCAAATGTAAAGGCAGAAAAACTTTTACAGTTGCAAAACCAAACCGTACAGTATGAAAACTTAGCACAAGAAAGTAAAAATAACGACGCGGCTATGCAAAAGGCAATGAAAAGCGCAGAATATATAAAAGCTAACAATGACTGGTTAGATGCCCAAGCCAACGCTAAAGCAGCCCAGCTTATAGGGTCAATAAGGACAAAAATACAAGCGGATGAAGACAGTTCAAATGAAGCTTTAACAAATGCTGACTTTAAGAACGCTTTCGAAGCTCTTCATAGTAAGGTGAAACAAGTGAACGACTTCTCATCTGGAAAGAAACTGAAGTCTGAAGGTTTCGACAAAGAGTTAAAAGAAGTAGCACAAAATATGACGAAAATAACAGATGCAGCAACGAGACAGGCAGTTCAAAGTGCCTATGACGCCGTTAGAGCAACTGTTGTGAAAAGTCAAGAAAAAGAGTTACAACAGACCAAAACAGACCTAGTAAATGCTTTCTTAAGAACGAAAAGTCAGGTAGGACATTACGCTGCAGATGGAACATATGTGCCAGCTGGTGGAACTTATATACCACCAAACCCTCCAAGAGAAGCACCTGCACCAGGACTACCTAAACATTTACATCGTCACATGGACACAGACACAGGCATGCACCAAACCACAACCACAACAACACAACCACACAACAACCAGCACACAACCAACAGTTCAAAACCCACAACAACCAGCACAGCAACCAACAGTTCAAAACCCTGCACAACAACAACCACAAACAGAGCAAGGACATAAAAGAAGTAGAGAACAAGGAAACCAAGAATTCTTAAAAATGCTTAAAGAAGAGTGTGGTTTCCCAGATACTGTTGACTTTAGTGACAGATATAAAGAAGCTATTGGAAAGTTCAAGGATGGAAATACTGACCCGAACCTATTTAGCTTTATGGCTCAGCACCAAAACGGATATAATCTCAAACCTGGAAAATACAAGCTCGCTAAGGGATATGATTTAATAGCATATCATCCAAATGACATGGATGAATTTACTCCGAGATATTTGATGTCAGAGCTAAATGACAATTCAACTTTCGTCATGAAACGCGTAAAAAATAGAGACGGAACGAAAGAACAAAAGCTTATGAATGCGGATGACGTAGATAGGGAAATTGTTGAAAACGGTCTCGGAATATATGAAATGCCAGCAGATGAGGTACAAGAAACTCCACAGGAAGAAATGTTCAGATACAACCAGACATGGAAGAAATAGTTCAGCAACAACAGCTAGAAGAGCCTGAAGGAAACGAACAAGTCACTCCTTTGGAAACTAACTTCACAGAACTAGATGAAGATTTGGAACAGCCGAAAAATCTTGACCCTCAACAAGAGTATGCGGAGAATATGGAATATTTCCAAGAGTCTAAAAAAAATTCGGCTGACATAGTAGAAGAATATCGAAAAATGTTTGCCGACATACAAAAGACTCCAACACCAGATGAAAATATTCAGCATAGAATGGAAGAACTGAAAGAAAATGTACACAAATACAACAACCCTTTTTACTTACGAGCATTTAACGTTCAATCTTCGGATGAACTCGGTGAAGATAAAAGGTTAAATTTCAAGAAAACATATAGAAATGAAACATTGTTTAAAGTTCATTCAGAACCTAACCAAGATGGAAACAAACCTACTTTTGTTTCTGCAGACGATGGAACTACAATGAGATGGGGTCATAAAGCTAATCCGGATAGGTGGTTCATAAACTTACAACCACAATTCCAAGAAGTTGTAGACGCAATGGAAGTCAATGGTGAACCAGATATAGCTGGTATTTTAGCGCGGCTTTAATGCCATTGAAAGATATGAAAATGCAGATATTTTGGACCAGTATGAAATGAACATGGCTGATGGAAATATAACACCTGACGTTCTAGAACATTTATCTCAAAGAACTACACAGAACCATAGAGATGGTATATTTGGTGAAGAGTTTAGAAAGAAAGTTAGGGAGGAGAAGGAAGAGAACCTATTGTACATGACCTTGCAAACGAAAGTTTACAAAATGTCATAAAAACTTACTTTGCAGACAATGAACTGAGAAGGGATGAATATTTAAGAAAACTCAAATGGACAGTACCAAATGAAATGTTAGTATTGAAAAACATGTTCCTTGACAAAATAAAACCAACTACAGAAATAAACGACGCAAGACTGAAAGATTGGGTAAAAGCTTTCCCATTCACAAAAGATATAGTTGGTAACATGGAAAGAAAACCAGAATGGCTACAAAAACATATATTTGGAAACGAGCTTATTCCATATGGACAGGCACTGTTTGAAGAGCTTGAACCGAAACTCAGGAAAGAGTCATGCAAACAATACGCGAAGACTCAAATACAGACTATGACAAACTCTTTCTAGGATATAGGTTACCTGAGATGGGCGACCAGAGCCAAAAGGCAAAAAGGACATGGGAAATTTGCAACATACTAGATGAACATAATGCAAAGATGCAACAACTTCAAGCAGAGGGCAATGAAGGAAAAAGAAGAGTTAAAAACTCAGTCAGGAAGAAAGTAAAGCTTGGTCCACGTGGGTTCTATTATGACATATAAATCCAACTATTCTATATTTTTACTCATATGAAATGTACGCCGCTCAGAATATAACGCCAACAGTTTTGGATGCTATGAATGGAAATGTTTCCGAATGGTATAACGAATGCGACAATGCCATTAGAAGGTCAGAAATAGTTCCTGGAACTTACGAATATACAACTGCTGTTTCTTATGGAAACGTAGGTGAGTTTGGAGAAGGTTCTTCAACAACAGTAGATATTGCTTGCGACAGGTTTCATATAATTTCTATTGACAACTCTTTCTTATACGTGGAACAAGACATTGAAATAAAACCTTCTGCCAAGTTGTCTGACAAGAAAGGTTGCAATGGAATTTTCTATGTCGGATACCAATATGCTCCAGAAGTTTTCATGGGATATAAGATATATTCTAACTCTGACTTAGTTCAAACAGTAACATGGGCAAACTATGAATGGTTCGCTTTGAGAAACTCAGTACAACCACAAGCTAGAGAACAAACAGACCAGTATGCAACTATTGAGAAAATAAGAAGACTTGACCCTAACGTTCCAGGAGTTTATGTTAACCTTTCTGGACAAACTGCAGCAGCAGTAACCAAAGTAAAATTGAAACTTAGAGTTCCTTTGTCATCTTTCCTCATCTTCAGGTTTTTAAGATACTTGCCAAACTGGGCAGGAAAAATTTCTATCGAACTTACTCCAAGCAAAAATAACTTAGTCATTGCACCAACACAAGACCCATTCACTCTTACAGACGTAAAGGGAGCAAATCAAACGTCATTCGCCGAATTTTGCAAAGACAAAGTTGACTTAGACTTTGGTTTCTCAAACCTCAACACTGAAGTAAACTATTATTTCAATGCTGCTGGAACTGCTTGGGACCCAGTTAAGTTCACATGCGAAAAGTTTGAATGCAAGAGAATAGAAAGCAGACTTGCAGTCTATATGTTGGACCCAGATATTTCAAATGCTTTAGCTGCCAAATATATTGCAGTTCCACTTATGTTCCCTATACACCAAATATCTGTCAAAGACTTTGCAGGTGAAGTTGGAAACCAAAGTGCTGACCCAGGTGCAAGAACAGATATTGCTTTAACAACTGCAATGAAACATGCAGATACTATGTTTGTACTGTTCAGACGAACTATAAATGACTATTCTTGCTTCTACAACCCTGGTATTAAATACCATATAAACATAGATGGCAAATATATCCAAGAGAAGAATATTCTACAGTTGAGGATATGAGGTCATACAACTTGACATTAGATGCTATGAACTTTAACAACAACTTCACAACAACCATTAACCCTGAAATGCAAAGTTCTATTATGCCATATGTGAAAGTATGGACTCATACAGGAGCTCAAAAAACACTCAATATACAAATGGAGACCGTTCAAACTTTTGGCTTGGCATTCCATTTGCTGACTCAGAAGACTTTATGGGTGGTATTTCAACTGTTGGTACAGTTCAAATACAATATACTGGTGACAGAGACGGTCCAATGAATTGAAAGCAAAGAAGTTTACAAAACCAATAGCACTTTTCACGGAAGATGCTCTTTTGAAATTCGTTCGATGAAACCTGCTGGGGCTCCTCAGATTGGTATAACGACAGCTTCCATCGAGCAGATTTTGGCAGCAGGTCAGTAAGTTGTTCTTGAACTGACTTCTCTCCGTCAAATATTGACAGTACGCCAGTTTTGATATAATATTGTATTATAAACTTACCTTTAGAAATATCGGTCAGTTTTGTTGTTATATTTTTGTCTGCTTCAAGAACTTTCACCATCTCGGTTATACCAACTTTCTTTGCTTTATGAAAATATTTTGGTTCAGCAAAGACTGCTATTCTATAACATTTTCCATTGTTTGTATAAAGAACTACTCTCTGTCAATGAACTTGTATTGTTTGTGTGTGTAAACTTTGTTTTGCTTCAATTCGAAGAGATACTCAAACGTCCATCTTTTTATTCTAAGTAAAATGTCATTTCCGAAAAATAGAAGCGTAAGTGTTTCAAAAGGTTTAATGGCGGTGGCAGATGTGAAGTTAAATTCACCAACTCAAACAAACAGTCAAAGTGTTGTTGTCAATGTCAAAGAAAGAGATGTTGAAGTGGGGAAACCATACGAAGACGAAGATGGTATAACAATAGTTCCTGTAAAAGAACAACCAACATATCCTGAAGTTAGCAGAGACTTAAGTTCTGTTGCAGATATTCGAAACGACTACCAACAACTTAAAGACAAACTTAAAACTCAGGAGAAGATTTGTCAAGCTTTGGTATAATGTTAAACTTGGTCGAACACAACCCTGTAAAAGTGAACTCATATGTCATCGCACCTCATGAAATTTTGAAAGAACTATTGAAACTTTTGACAGAGGCAGACGATATAAACATCAAAGAAATAGAACCCGACATTGCTTGCTGTGGTGTTTCATATAATGTCATTGACAAGATATACGTTATGAAAGGAGGTGAAACGTTGAACTTAAAATATAGTTTCCCAGACGTCATAAAAATATTTGACGACCACAACATTTCATTAAAATTTACTTGCTAAGTAAATGGCAGAAGACATAGTGGTTTATACTATTACGACTAAAAACCCTGAGTCATATAATTCTATAACAACAAACTTACAAAGTCCTCAAGGACGATATTGTAAACTAACCTTAAACACAATGACGACTAAAGCCTGTTTTGCTCTTTTGACACCAGAAGACTTTGTTGTTGTGAATGGTAAAAAATACTTCTTTG